ATTGCAACTAATAGTATTATTATAAAGATAATAACAGAATATTTGTTAAAACGCTATCTTAATAAAATGAATGATATGTTTCAGACATTCTTCGTGCGATCCGTATGCTCTCGAAATTGGTGCCAGGGCTGGACGATCCTCGTACAAGGAACAGTATGCATTCATATACAAGTAAATAACTTAAACGTCTTACAAAGTTTAATGAAGTAGGATTGAGATTTATCACAAAACTTTTCAAACGTTAACAGTAGGCCTATATGTTTTTACATATCACAAACTCTGTTTATATTTAAAGTCCTCCAGTCAGTATAATCGACACTTTTTTTAATCCACTTTAATATATGGATTGTACCTAACTATTTCATTTTGCTTATATATACACGTGTGTTTCTGGGACAAGCGCCTACAGTAGTTCCACCACTGTTCTGATTGGTCATTTAAATGACACAAATAACTATGTCAATGTTGCGAATATTGAAAATTACCGTATAAGAAAGAAAAGTTAATTATCTTCCTTTGCTTTGTAAAACCTCTTTTGAGCATTAGTGTCACAACGGATGGTAAAGTTAATCATTTCAGTAAGAACTTGTACCGCAATTTAACTAAACCTATAGTAGTGAGGAAATTGTTTGTGTGTTGGCCATCGTAATAGGTAATTATTGTGATTGACAATGAGAATTATTGTAACAAATTCTCATCAAAAACATTCGAAACTTCGGCAATATTTTTTAAAAATATTGAACTTTGCCATGAAACGGACAAATTGTTTATAAGAACATACGGTCTCAGGCCCGTTGACTGACTTTTGTGGGAGGTTCGTTTGAGTGGAAAGGGGACCCTTTGGAAAACATTAAACATGGGTAAGATGACGTCATATCACACACTATCAAAATATATCCACGAATATTAATTTTTCGTTTTTAAATAAGGACCTTCTCCGGTTTTTTGGGCGGTTCGTCGTAACCCCATTAACCCCCCTCCCCCACGCTACGGGCCTGCGGTCTACATTCTAAAAGTACTGAGTGTTGCTTTTGTAGGCGTAGCAAGCTCAGTGTCAGCGACAAATACGAGTACGACGACGGTCCAGAGGGCTATACACCAGCCATCGATGAGTTTATTCGTGAGCCGTTTGTGGTGCGATTCAGTTCACCGGAAACCTGCGTAAAGGACTTTGCCGTCGTACCTATTCACACTTCACCTGACTTTGCAGAAGCAGAAGTTGATAGCCTAACTGATGTATACGATGATGTAGTCGCAAAATGGGGCATTGAGGTAATACATATTTATGTAAAAACAATCTAAATGCTTTGTATGTTTATTGAAAAGACAGTTTTAGCATATGCCTTCTAACAAATGACTTAACTCTTATTAACATCGTTATTCTTTAGGACGTCATAATTGCAGGGGACTTTAACGCCGATTGTTCCTACATCACGTCCTCCGAATGGGATTCCATTCGCTTACGTACTCAAACAAGGTTTGATTGGTTGATTGGGGATGATGTAGATACAACAGTATCGTCAACAGATTGTGCTTACGACAGGTAGTGTTGTCAGTTTCTTCATTCAACAGATCATACCACAATCCGTTAGCAAGAGAGCCTAGTTTAATATCCGAAATCATTTTATGTAATACAGTCATAATTACTCCAGGCTTACAGACTCAGTTTATTAATTAGCGAATCTAGATTTTTTTTTTTTTTTTTTTTTTTTTTTTTTTTTTTTTGCTGGGTTGGCGCGAGTGGTAATCCGTACAGAGGTGGAATCTGTATTTTCAAGAGAGGAAGGTTTTGGTGTTCCCTCACTTATTGTTGGGGTCAAGTAGACTATCCAACTGGAAGCATCGGTATTTAGCCAGGGGCAGATCCAGCGGGCCCGTGCTCCCCCAGTCAGTTCAGTCGAAAAATAAAAAAGAGTGAGAAAAATAATGAAAAGAGGAAAATGGGAGGAAAAAGAGAGAAAAAAGGAAATGCACTCATGTGTTCAGTGGCGGATCCAGCAGTAGGCGAAAGGAGCGCTCGATTATTTTACCACTAAGTTTTAATTTTCAACTGACGACGAACACAACGCTATATCCCCGACGCCCAGTTAGTCCAACGATTTCAGGATGTCAAAGTCAGGATATCAAAAACGTCAGAATACCGAGAACTATAAGACGGTATTTTCAGCCATTATGACCGTATGGGAGTAGGCCCATTTTACAGCTAGCTCCATGCTTAAAATGTCAATATTTGAGCGAGCCAAATGGCCGAGCGGAGGCAGGGGCACATTAATCGTAGCCAACAATATCGGCATGGGTTCGCGGCCGGCTCACTCCTATAGTTCTGGTGGTGGAACAATTCTTCTCTGATAAGGACTATAAACCGTAGGCCCAGTGTACACAAATGCTCATGTGCCCTTTAAGAACCCAGTATATCTTTCGAGACAAGTAGTGGGTTACCCCGGTGTACTGGCCGAATGAACCTGTACACCGGGGATTACCCCGGTGTAGGCCTACTGGTTCATTCGGCCCCTGTCGTGGACAGATGAAAGTGCACCGGTTTGCTGGCTGCAGAGATGTCATGAAGTGAAAAGTGCAACATCTAGTCCACTGCGCCTTTGATAAATCTTTGAATTGGCGCATTATAAATGTTTGTTAATTATTTGTTATCATATTGTTCAAATATTTTTTGTATCTTGTCCCTGACGAAATTGGGAAGTTTTTCAGATTCGACCAACCAATTAGCATTGCCAAAAGTTTTCGGCGATAGTGAGCGATGTTATGGAGACCAGGCTTTTCATTGGCTACTATAACTGTTACATATTATTATTTACATATAAACGTTTTATTTTGTTGTCCGAACTGATAGTTCAAGTAATCTATTGCTATTTCCAAGCAACTGAGTACATATTGGGTAATAAAATTAATCAGATTTCAATATTAAATCACCGTCAAATATCAAATATAGTAAGTAGAAAGCTGTGAGATATTATAACTATTGGAGTGGAGTTTTTTTAGCTTAGTCGTTAAGATACTTGCCTTCTATTCCCAGGGGCTTGCATATATATATCTTGGATTCAATTTCTCAAACAGCAGCCTTTTTCTAAATAAAATAAACTCTACCCCCAAAGCCTCATACAGAGACTTGGTTTGTAATTAAGCATCATTTATTCTGTAATTGGCGAGTTACTCGCTGTTGCAGACGAATGAAAAAAATATAAAAATTTAAAAAAAAACTAAATTAATAAGTAACTCGTTATTTTCTATTTATACCTATTGATATTCTTGGTTTTGTTTAAAAATAGATTTGTTATTGCTGGTTCTAATATGAAGGCCAGCTATACACGTAGATCTGCTGGAACATTCAACTTCGACACATTCTATGGACTCAGCGAATCCGAGGTAAAGGCATGTGCACAGTGATGAAGTAACAAAAAGACCTAAGGCCATGGCTAAAGTTTCTTTGAATTTGGGTCCTATTACTCTGGTTGCCGAGGGCTGCGAAGGTCCCTAGTTGGGAGAACCCCCTTCCGCTCTGGAGTTTTTAAGGGTTTAGGAAGCCGCTTGGCCGATTTGGAGCCCGTGGCATTGACAAAATAATGCCGATTAGTAACACAGAACTCCAATCCCTGAGTCCTGGCTTTAAACTCGTAGGTGTAACATCACTGCATGTGAATACGTATTCCAGAAACATATTATGTGCATGCATATTTTATTTACAAACAATTCGAGCCCAACACATATTTATAACAATAATAATAAAAATTATAATAGGCCTAATATTAATAATAATAATTATAATAATAATGCTCAAATAATAATAGTATTAATGATAATTCGTATTCGATATATAATAAATATTTTGATCTTAAGAGTGAAATCTGTGAAAAAAATTGCATAAAAATATATCAATATGCTGGCCCCTACCGTTATCATTAGTATTATAATATATTTTGTCAGACGTTTGCAACTGGATTTGACGAAATGTAAGGATGAATGTATACTTTTTTTCTTATTTTATCAGGCAAAAGCTGTCAGTGATCATTACCCAATTGAGATGACGTTGAAAAGTTCCTGCTAAACCTCTAAAATGCACCCAAACCAGCTTACTGACGAAAACCTTAGAACACAACTCAACGTAACTTAAAGCGTTTCGAAGTACATAACTAATTTAATTTACTTTTAAATCTTATCAGTTTGATTAGTATAGACCCACAGAAAACCGCTTTTAATTACTTACCTAGATGTTGTTTTTTAGGAAGGTAAATAAAATCACAATAAATGATTTGTTGTGTATCGAGACAGCCTAACTGTTTGTTTTAAGCAAAATACTGAGATTTAGTTTGTGTAAAGCATCGTGTGTGTATGTTTGTCTTGATTGCCACCTACAAGTAGGACAGTGATATATTCGCTATTGACAATCCTTGGCACATGCATTGTGTGCCTAAATAAATAATAAAAATGAATAAAATAAAATAAGGTAAAATGAATGTAACTAAAAATTTGTTTTAATTGTTTACCATTTAGTAGCGTTTTGAAATGTTACTAGACAAACACAAGAATGAATCCTTAATGACCTTTGTCCCAACCCTGAACACCATAAAGCCTTGGTTCTTAGTAGGCGGCCCACAGGCCAATTTGTACTTACATGTATAGACAGCTAATGAACCAAAGAACAGTGTTTATAAAAATACATTTCGATTGTCCTGCAAATAATACAGTTGTGACTCTCTGTTTTGGTCTGATCATTGTGTTTCGTCAATAGCCTTCTTTTCAAGTCATAAAATATTAGCATCATCTCGACTTTTTTGCTACCAGTTTAATCTCTATATTTTGTTCTGTTCACTGCGGTGATTCGTTAGCATTAATTCACAGGGGTAATAAAAAGTTGGCTCATATAATTTCACCTATTTTTACAAAATGGAATAATCTACAGAATTATTAAACACGACGGTTGAAGGAAATCAGAAGACTAGCATTTAGTACTGCCTACGCTGTTCGCTAGATGCATCTTTTGAAGAAACAGAGTGAACGTCTAGTAAAAATAGAGCCAAAACACCATGTACCACTACCTTAGATTTGAATTTTTTGTGATTAGCCTTGCTGGCGTTGTGTGTTTACTCTATTATAGTAGTAATTTGACAGAAAATACCAACAGTAAGTAAGCATTTTGAATCCGCTTGTAATTTTGTTATTGCCACATTTGATTGAATTTACTGATTTAAATTCGTTGCGAAACATCCACAACATTTCTTTGTAAATTTCCAATCCTTTCCTTAATTCTATTCTTCATACTTAGTTTGTTTTTGGTTTAGTGACGTGACCCATGACCTCAAGTTTATTTAAACAAAATTCTTTTAAACTAGTTTTTCTTCATCAATTTTAAACGGTCTACGCTTTCTAAATGCTAAAATATGCAAGCCATTGCCCTTTGCTCCCAGTTCAAATACAAGTGTTTATACCTCTGTTGTACCTCTTTTTTTCCTTTTTATAATGAGATATCCATTAACATTTTTGGTTTAACATCGGGACCGATCCAGAGCCTGGGACGAATGCAGGGGGAGGGGGTGCAGACGGTGCAATCGCGCAACCCACCTAACTTGTATTAAGAAAATAATAACATAAATGAAATTAAATCTGGTATGCGACTGCAATTTCCGAGTACATAGGTACATATTCTCAAAATTTTCGCCCTCAGACCCAACTATGGCAGGACCCAGGTCACGTCTGTGAGCCTAATCCCTGGGTGCTCAGACATCCTGGGGTTGACAGATATTTGCTATATACCGGGTACGGATTTTAACGCGCAAAAAAATATATCTATAAAATCAGGGACAAATGATCAAGATTATGTTTTAATTCGTTTATATGGTATTCCACGAGTCTCTTGATAAACTCTAATAGGCGAATGCAACATTGTCTCGTCAGAAGTTAAAAAAATAACTTATTAAAATTTGTTTAGATTTACCGACCAATCGATCTGCAAACCATGTGATATCATGGCCAAGCATTTTACTGTACTACATATGGTCTTTAGTCGTGATTATTGAAAGGAAACAACTAAATATAGGCCTACATTCACCTACTTGCAATGAAGTAATATGTATTCAAAATATGACCACCGACGTTATTTGAATAAAGGAAACACATGAACAATATAGTTGAACAAACCAAAGTAGAGGTCTATCAAAAAGATCAAAAGATTGCTGTAGGTTATATTTTAAAGAAGTATGGTTCCAGCGCATTGTACCGTGGCACGAAGCCTACGTAAACAGTTGCATTGAATGAAGAATAAAAGCGAACAATTGTTTGCCCTTCCTGTTTTTTAAAAATTTATTATTATTATTATTATTTTTTCGTATCGAAATTTACAACAGTCAGTAACACATATTATGGTACTGATCTTAATGGTCTAGGCTTGAATAATGAACTCAAGATCTACGTTAAGAATAATGTAAAAATATCTACGATACTAGTTCAATTGGCAACAACCGAAGAGATAGGACGAAATGACTTTAAAAATTGAATTAGAAAAAAAAATCCTTAGATTTTTTGTCGATTCATAATATATATGCCATAGGCCTATGTGAATTTAATCCATGCAGCTTTCGTATTTTTGGCATAATAAAAATAAAGATAACAAGTATACTGATTTCCCAGGCATTATTGGTCTATTGAAAGTGTGCCTGCTATTCTGCTGTACAAACAATAGCAATCAGTGCTACAGACTTGCTATACAGTATTCCTATCTGATGTATTAAAAAATATCAGCTTGCTTGCCATTAGTAACGAATGCTAATATACTGTATATTAGAGTAATCATGGATGTATAAACCCAAATAATATTCCTTAATAAATAAACAGCGAAGTTCTTAAAACTTCCGAAATGTATACCAGATAGAGATAGTGTTTGTGTATGAATTTGTACATATCTTTCTAATGTGTTAAATGAAAGTGACTCGAGATTATTATAGTTTGTTAACATGCTTACAAAATTTAAAGGTAAGTTTTGAACAATTAAATTTATATCAGGGAGATGCAAGGTTATATCAGGGAGATATAACATCTCCCTGGCTATCATATACAATCATTTCAATGGCACCGTTATCCTTTGTTTTCGTCTTCTAGCTAACACTCTGCTTTTTAGAGCTCACAGCAACACCATAATTCCTGGCCCAATATCGTTCAAAGACTCATACGTAGAAGTAAGTGATACCATTTTATTAACTACCATATATAACTGTATGTATTAATAATAATAATAATAATAATATATTATATATATATATATATATATATAAAAACATATATTGCCTTGGTTTGGCTCTGTAATCATTAGTGGTAGTGGGACTGGTTTGGGCCCTTCCTAAGCTGGTCAAACGTTTCTTTTGGGTCTATACCCCAGCTGCACTGATGAGTAGTATAGATATTTATCCTGTCTCTTATACACATCTAGATGTGTATAAGAGACAGATATATATATATATAAACTATAGGCCTATGCATTCTTTTGAGAGAGAAATTGCTTTACAATTTAGTATAGGTATCAATTTGTCATAATCACGAAATGCATATTCATTTATACTCTTTATTGCTGTATTTAATTTTAAACAGAAAGAAAAAAGAAATACATCCAGCTGGTGGATAATAAAACAGGAGGAAATACAACGACAACGTTTAGCGTTATTGAAAAAGGAATGCAAGTCGACACATTATAAAAGGAACGCCCATGTTCCAGTAAAATTATTTATTGAACTCAGTCACAATCTTATGTACTGTCCTATTCCTAAGATTGCGTCTTCAAGTTGGAAGCATATGCTGTTAATACTAGGTGGATGTTTAAATGCTGACGAACAATTAGAACAACATTTAATGAGTAAACATGCCCAAAATTGTTTACCAATGTTCACATTTAATGGTCTGTTTCAACAAAATAATGAAATGGATTCTTACATAAAATTCTTGTATGTTCGTCATCCGTTTTCACGAGTCCTTTCGGCATTCAAAAATAAATTGGATCCAAAAACTACGCTCAAGAATGCTGGTTTTTGGCAGCGTAAGTTTGGAATGAATATAATTAGAAAATATAGGACAAATAAAGAATTTTATCGAATTAAAGCGAATTTCAAAAGAAACTACAATCTGAAGTTTGGAGAATTTGTAAAATACATTGGTGATCCTAAAGTGTCACGAAATGTCTCAACTGATAACCATTGGATTGAAGTGTTTAATAAATGTGATCCATGTTCTTTTCACTACAACTTCATCGGTAAGATGGAAACAATGGCAGCAGATACCGATTATTTAATGATGATATCAAAAATAGACAAAGAGTTTGAGTTTCCATCTTCAACATTAAGCAGTCCGACTAATAGCTCCGGAAGGGATACCGTTGAAAGTTATTATAAAGATCTCCCGGTGCAAGACCTAAAGAACTTGTACAATCGATATAAACTAGATTTTAAGCTGTTCGGCTATCCCAAACCTGATTTTGAAAATGGAAACATTATAAGGTTTGGTACTTGAAATAATATATTTTAAAAAATCATAAATAAACCGAGTTTATAATTATCTGAGCATTGCCAAATTTGTATGAAATTTGAGTCTTAGTCTAAACAGCAAAGGTAATATTCACTCCAACGAAACTAACTTCTGCAAATTCACTCTCACAGAACAACTAAACCCAGCATTATCCTGGGTTAGACCATTCATACCCAAAGTTGAATCGCTGCTATAGCTAAACACACTGCAATACAATTATTAGTAATTGCACTCATTGCGTCGTACGACGGTGGGTACGACCGTTGTACGACCAATCCAACTCCGTTAGACGGCGCTAAGCCGTCTGGCCGGCAGCGAGTGCCCGACTAGACTTGATACATGGACGGACGATGATGATCAGATTGACTATCTGACATAGTTTTAGCAATATCCTGACCGACCAGTTTTATTCTGGGTCGGAGTTGCCCTGGGTTAGTTTTTCTGGACACACAGATAGTGAACCTTTCCGGAGTGTCAATCAAACTTTAAAAAAAACTGACCAATCAAAACAGTGGCAGGAATATGCCCATGACGTGTCCAAAAAACACAGTGTTATTCTACAAACGCACGTGACGTTTGCGTAAAATTACGCTATCTTTTTGTAGGACTTTAGCAAAGATCTTATAAACACAAGATAGCGTTCTCCGCGATTTACGCGTGCAAATTCTGTAATAAGGCATGAATGGCGCCCTCTTGCTAAATTGGAAACTTTTGACCCTTGACCGCTATTCTGTGAACAGCAGAACAGGAACCATTTCAGATCCATGGCAACAGATAGGACGCCCTCTTCCAAAACTGATTACTTTTTCTCTTTGGTATAATAGCGCATGAATGGACACATCTAGATGTTGAACCTTGACCGACGCTTCTATTTGTTACGCGTAAATCGCGGAGAACGCTATCTTGTATTTATAAGATCTTTGGACTTTAGCAACAATATTCAAGGGGGGGGGGGGCTTAGTGGAAATGTACAAGTTCATGCTGGGTCTGATTTGAAACTCTTTCACATCATTTTGCATCGGTCTCAGCATAATGTTTTAATAATATAATATAATATACAGCCACTATAATATATCTCTATGTATCTAACATCTACATGTTTAGTATTTTTTTTTATCTCTAATTAATTACAATTTCACTTGTTATTTAATTAACAAAGATAATTCTGTTATTCAACGACTAAAAATTAAAAGTACAAGAAAAAAAAACTAACTATTATAGGCCCTAGTTGTTATAAACAGTGTTCTTGGACATGCACAATAAAAAAAAACACCAATAATTTGTTTATTTCAGGGGTAGATTATTTTTTTATGATCAAAATCATCATCACTATCACGAGCATACCACCTCTATCATCGTCATCATCATTCTCATCACCATCGTCATTTTCGTCATCACCATCATCATCGTCCTCATCACCATCATCATCCTTATCATCATTATTATCACCATCATCATCATCTTCATCATCATCATCACCACCATAATCATCATCAGCACCATCTTAAAGGATACAATTTAAATGAAAGGGAAGGTTAATCAATCAATTTAAGTAGAAAATGAAGTGTACATCACATGAGTCCGGGTGCGTTCGGGATCAACATTTATGAACTACAAAAAATGGGAATAATCAACTCAAACTCGATGGAGAAGGCTATACAGTTAAGTCCTGACACCCGTTGTATGGACTCAAACAGTATAGATATTTATCTTCTGTTGAAAGAAATTATAAAATATGAATGAGAAGTTCAGCCCAAACATTTGGTACAATTTGGCCAGATTAAAAATTTGGGTTACAAAATATAAAATTATTCCATAGGCCTACATATTAAAATAATGGTCATTGTTATAAACATATATAATTTCTACAGCAATTTAGATCTAAACTTTTGAAGTTTCATTATCGCCATAATCATCCTCGTTGGGCGCGCGTGAATATGCTGCCGTCACGGGTTTCACATCTTTGAAGTTTTCTCCGTCTTCGATTGTCTCTGGTAGAGGGCGATTGAAGGACTCAGGCAACACCAACACGGCAATGCCAGCACACAGCGAAAGGACGGCAAATAAGACCATTGGTATCCATGTAACGGATTTTCCCTGTTCATAAACAGATTAAAACAATTATTTATAGAGTGTTAATTATAGCATTAATACCATTATTCTCTAATATTGTATTAATCGTTTGGTTTCAATCTTTTTTTATTTTTATTTTGTTGGGGAGCTAAAGCTATTCCTTCTTTCCATGGTGTTCTTTTTGGTGTACGGCAATTTTCTAAAGTATAAAGTGTATTTTTTGTTATATATAAACTCGATTTTACTGTTTATTGTTCGTGTATTATAAAAGAGGTTCTTCCAGGGGGGGGGGGGTGGTTCTGGGCGTGAGGTCCACGGTCGAAGCCCCGGTGGGGTCGGCGAAACCCCCAGAGCAAGAGCATTTTTGTGCTTTATGGGTCTAAATAATGCTATAAAAGCAGATATGTTGGAAAACGTCTTTGTCTGGGTGGGTCTGCAGTGCATTAGTTGTGTTGGAGGACTTATTTGGGAAATTTGAAGAGGGGGTTCGCCAAAATAGAGGGGGGTTTGCTAGAAAATGGGGTTATCCGGAACCCCCCCCCCCCCTCTGGATACGGGCCTGTCACACAACTACCTAGAAAATGGGTACAGAACAAGACCGTAGCCTGGGGGTGTTTGAGGGGTTCGAAAGAACCCTCCTTTGCCAGAAATGCCTTTTAAAATTATTATTATTATTATTATTATTATTATTAAAAAGTACCATTTGCATGGAAGTTGCTGAAATTAATTTCAAATATTTGAAATTTGGTTTTATTGCCATTTCCGAACATATGAGGTGTTCTATCGTTAAAGTTTATTATTTTATAATTAGGTCTGTATTGTTGCTTTGCTTATTATTTATTGCTTTCCCTCTTTTTATAATACACGAACAATAAACAATGGGTTCGAAGTAGGTAGGCCTAAATTAAGTACATCAAAGACAATATTTTTAATATTTATTTTCTATAGTACATCACACATATTAATTAGATATCTATGGTTGCCGAAAATCAAGAGAAATTTGTTGCCGCTTCATTTTTACTATATAATGGTGATGTGAAGACGATGAAATTTACTATATAAAAGTGTCATTTCCAGTTATCTAGAGCTACTATTTCCTAAAATTTTCGCACCTCAGGCCCAAACACGGTGGGCCTCAGGTGGGTGTGGGCTCACAAAATGTACCCCCTCACCTTTCAAAACAGATCTGCGCCCTTGTCAAACCCCCCCCCCTGCTTCGTGCTTCGCAAATCGTATTAGCCACCACCCATTGCTATTTAATCCTAGATCCGCCACTGGATTCTGGCTTAAAATGGAAGAGAAGTTCACGGATTCACGGAAGTCGAAAGTTTTTGACAATTTCGGTGTTAGAAAACAAAAGACGTGGGTACCTTACCGTATACATGACGTAGGGGGCACAAATACCACCAATTCGCGCCATCATGGAACATTCTCCGATTCCAATGGTTCTGTATTATGAGATGTAATTAATGCATTATCAGGCACACATACCGAAGACAAACATTGTAATGGAAAACAAAAAAAAAAAACCCAAAAAACAACAACAACAAAAAAAGATACTCTGAAGACTGCTGGCAGTCTAGTTTTACTTCAATAATTACGCTATATATTTCTACTTTTTATAATTGGTCGACTACAAAGTAATTACCGTACCTGATAACAGTTGGAAAAATTTCTGAAGAGAAGATCCAAACAATTGTATATGTCAACGTAATAGATAATTTGCCGATGAAAGCCGAGGTCGTGATGAGCACTGATAGGTTTTTACCATCCCCTAAAGTACATAATATAAACAAAGGAAAACATAATTTATTTATTATTTATTAATAAATATATTATGTTTTATAATGGGAGTAAATGCATTCTGAATTATGTATGCAACAATATAAGAAGATATAAAATACGTAAATAGATATATAAGGATAAATATATAAGGAGATATGAATACATACTGTATATAGGCCTATGTGATTATAATCAGCACCAACAGCATCTAGACCATATCATGATGATTATCATCGTCATAGTAGAACCATCAGCTTCATCATCATCATTAATCGTTTTAATTCAATTCAATTTAATTCAATATTTCCATAGGCAGCGTCACGGTTTGAGCGTTGGGTGGGCCCTGAGCACTTTGCGAGCTGAGGGAAGAGACCTTGGCTGGGGGATCAGGGAAGGCCTCGGTTGTTGTGCAGGGGCCGAAGGCCCTCGCAAAACACCTTGGTCATGGCGGTTATGTATTCACCCCGTCTGCCTGTCTGTTAGTAAGATTACGCAAAAAATACGGAATGGATCATAACAATTTAGTGGAATTGTAGGGTAGGTCTATAATAATGTAAGAGGCTTTTTAAATTTTGTAGACATTCATGAGCGAGTAGGTTAGTAGGAGTTATGAAGCTTAGGTGAAACTTACGTGGATGCGCTCCTAGGTCTTACGAGGTTCGGTATATGAAAATACTGTACATTTTATTTACTACTTATTATTATTACCCTACCTGATTTCGGAGGGATAGCAATTGTCAAAATACATGCTACAGAAGCAATCACGTGAAAGCAAAGTAGCAGCCTGCGGCGACCGTATCTGTACAAAGAAGACAAAATTATAAACAATATCAAGTAAATTAAACTTGTATTAAAATAATGAAAGCCTAATCTTAATTTTTCTACAATGTTACTTAAATTGTTTCTAATAATATTTTTCTAATTAATATATAGCTTTTGTCATTTTTAAGCAACATCGGTTATGTAAATAAAACTGATTGCTATGTATAGTTGGCAAGTTATTTGTTAGACAAACCTGCTTGCTGCTGAGTAAAGGTAAAGGAGTGCAATAATCGCATTCTACAAATTGTGTTCTATGTAGGAACTCTCGTACAAACAACAGCGCCCTCTGTGATGTGTTAAAATTTCGCGAGTACGACAGGCTGCAAAAACTAGATTTACAATGTTTGCGACTGAGGTACGAAATTGTATGTCTTATGACACTTCTGATGGCCAGAAATAGTACTCGAAGAATAAAAATTTAAATGCATTTATTTTCTTCTTTAAATTTTTAAAACTGTGTCGACTGGCCCTCTTGAATCCGCCTATGGTTACGTTTATATTTAGGTTTACTTTAAATACATTTAGGCCTACATTCATATTTTACTTTTATATTTACCGTTTACCGTACAGTATTTTAGCTTTAATATATGAATGTCTTGGATTACCTCTACTTTTATACGTTAGCCCTACTTTACTCATCTTCCCTCACTTCAACTTTACAATCTTGCATTTACTTTTAAGGTGTTACCTTTATTTTTACATTTCAGTTTATATTTTCTCTTCTTTACTCTTCTCTATTCATAATCTATTTTAAAATAGATTTAAAGGCAAAAAATTAAACATTAAACCTGAGAAGATATTTGAAGGTAAAGGTAAACATAAAGACAAACGTGAATAACACGATAAATACAGCGGAAGTAAATGCAACTGTAAAATTAAGCCTAAAAGTATATGGTAAAACGGAAGAGACAGGTAGGCCTAAGGGTTAAGTTAAATGTAAAATAAAAGCAGGTAAACTAAATTTAAGGGAAAATATTTACGGTAGTTAGTTAAAGTAAAATTAATTTAAAGTTGGTTAACTATTATAGGCCTATAAAAGTGTCTTACTTTAGTGTAAATTGTCTTGACTAAATGATGAAATTTGCATTTTTAATATTGTTATTATTGGTAATATTATTATGGTAATATATTAAGCATGTGATTATTGTTAAAAGCATTTTATTTTAAAAGAAGATGAAGAAATCACGTTATAATGTTTGAAAAAAGGTGGGTGTTCCTCACGAAGATAAAAAAATCCCAAACATTATTTATAGGCCCGGTGTTCCATTGGGTTAATGTTAAAATATGCATTAATAATGTTTATCAACTTCAAAACACCTTTGCAATGCCCACAATCCAAAAACGTAGGCCGGCACTTCTGCTAATCCGAGAATGAAGAAGTTTAGAAAGCGATCACCAGCCAGTGAAGACGAGTTAAGAGCCAATCCGTAGTAAACTAAACTGTTCACTAGCCTAAAAGAGAAGAAATGGGTTATATTGTATTAAATGAGGCCCAGACATACATACATCATGACATAATAGACTTACTGATTTTTGGTCCCAGAACTGATATTAGAAACTGAACTGTATACAAAATAATGGTGTGATGCAGCGTGTAAGGTTTTGGACTTCTAATTGGTAGGAGGGTGTGGGATAACTCCCCAGGGATCAGAGAAACCTGCGCAAAAATGTGCTGGTTGGCTAACTAAGTATCCAGTACCGTACCCGGGAAAATACTGAGATGCCAGCGCCTTTGTATATTCTTCGGAATGTGGAAGGCACCGTATAAATTCAGATTCTTAAAAAAAAAAGGATAATAAAGTTGGATGAGGATGGTGGTGGTTGTGGTGGTGGAGATGATGCAGATGATGGTAAAAACCATCATCATCATCATGGTAATGATCAGTGGCGGATCTACTTTTATTATGTCTACCTATGGTCCGAGAGGATCTTTCTTCTCCTTTGCCGCCCTTGGACCGACCACTGTTGACAATGTGATAATGATGTTGGTGATGATAAAATAATAAGCAGTGTATGTAGCAGACATCAGATAATTTGAAAGCGACAGTCTGTGACAGTATATAAAACATGAACTAGCCTATAGAATAAGAATTGCCTCACCACATGAAGAACATTATTATTGTATACTTCCGCAGGTTTGGTGTCCGTAGAGTGTCAAAAAGGGAGTAAGTTTTTCTATGAGACTTCGACTTGTCATTAAATGTATCTTCAGGTGCTGTCTGATCCAAAACCAATAATGATTTCTGTCCGTTTGATGCAGATTCATCTAGAAAGGCGCAGTCTACTCCGTTGAATTTACCCATTTTCTCTATAATTTTCCTTACATCACTGTGACGGCCCTTAGTGTGAAGCCATCTCGGAGATTCTACGACAAACCTTCATTTTAAAGAAATAACGACAATCACATTTTTTATATGCAGCACATCAATCGAAAACATAAGTGTCTTGATAATCAAACGCGTACTTTTTTTTATACAGCACAGGTACATTGCATGATATAAGCTTATTTCGTTCAAATTCAAGAGCGATCTCCAACTACATGATGGAATGAGGGGGGATGGGCTAAATCTTACTACGTCGCTTTATAAGATAAGTTCTAATACAAGACTTTTTGTGAGTGGGTTTGTTTATATTCACTTAAACACAACTCTGTAATTGAAAGGTGAGCATTTTAACCACAGGACAAGATTTACCAAAAAAAAAAAAAAAAAAAAAAAAAAACCCGACCGAGTTGTCATGTCAACTAGCTACTGAATCACTTGAATCGTTTCTGAATACGTGAATTTAACTTAAATAATTTTTCCATGCATTAATTAAGGTATAAATAAAAAAATATACCACAAATGTTAAAAAAAACCCCAAATTTTCTGATCATAGTTGGTATGTTTTAGTAGTTCATAGTACTGTCTGCTTTATTTATTCATTGATAGTAGGCCTAATTCGTGTTTCATTCATATACTTATGGTGTATGTATCTATGCATAAGTTTATAATCGTATGTATGTGACTATTCTTTAGTCATATCTGAATTATAACTCTCTTCTATTTAGGAAGTGCTCAGAAATACCTTGAGGGGAGTGATGGGAACTATAGAATATAGATATGTTAAATATTAGACTAATAACTTAATTAAAAACTGTACTTTCTTTTTTCGGCAAAAAAGGTGGATATTAAGAACTTTGAAGTGCCATACAAATACTTCAAGTTAGGAGAAAAACGATGTCTAATTCTAAAACTTTCCTAATCCCAAGGTATTTCCTAACATTCCTTAGATATGAAATATTCCTCACCACCAGAGGGGCAAAAATAATATCATAGGAAGGGTAATAGCTAGTTGAAAATGGCGCCAATTTTGAAACCAGTAAGCGATAGGTGTAACCAAACACAGTCCAATTCCCCATGCTATTGTTGAAATACAGCACGCAATCGCCCGTTGTTTTGGCGGGAATAGCTCAAGCAACAAAATGAAGGTACACGTCATAGTAGCCTGCAGTAAAGAGTAATTGAAGTACAGTAAGTAATGATGACGTTTTCTTTCCATTTTTATCTCTTGTGAGATGCATAAACCTAATTCATTCAAACGGTATCTTAGTTTTTGCCAACAATATCGAACATACAAATTAAAAAAAAAAAAAAAATCATTCAGCCCGAACCTGTAATTTATAAGTAATTTTAAAATGTTTACAATACAAATAAATTACAAACAAAATAATTTATACAAGAATGAGAACTCATTTCTCGGTTTGCCTTATATATATTCTTTTGTAAAGCGCATAATAGGGGCAATGTGCAATATGCGCTTTATAGATATATTATTATTATTATTATCATTATTATTATTATTATTATTATTATCATTATTCTTATTATTATTATTATTATTATTATTATTATTATTATTATTATTATTATTATTATCATTATTATTATTATTATTATTATCATTATTATTATTATTATTATTATTATTATTATTCTTATTATTATTATTATTATTATTATTAAAAACATTAAAGCATATAACTTAGTAACATAATCACACACACAAAAAACTAAAATAGGTCCTTAATCACACAGCAAATTAAAAAAACAACAAAACAGTAAAAAAGACAATACCTGTATTATCATATATACCGTATATATATCTAATTACATCAATTATCCAAAATCTACCAATATTGCCATTAATATAGGCCTATACCTGTTTTTGCAACCCACATTAAGCGTCTGCAGCCTTTCACTTAAAATGGTTGATTAGTATTCCAATTTTGATATTAAAAAAGCTCTAATGTAATTGCAACAGGCCATCATATGTTCTGTCAATACCCAAATAAGTATATGTGATTTGCCAGTTATGGACATGAATATGATGTCATATCCGTCACACCCAAATATGAACAAATCACAGATACGGTACTGTATTTGTCACATACTTCAACTTCATAGTGTGAAAAGAACCTGATGTAACTTACTTTCCATTTAATCCCATTAATTATATCATCAGCCACCGTGAAAACCCTACGCTAAGTGCAGTACAGGTTTTGCACAACATTTTCAATTATGAATTATTATTGAAATACGTCTGAAAAAAATACCTGTCTTACCATTATACACATGGCGACCACGAACCAAATAATAACGAATGCAATGTAATTATGAACGAAAGTTATTATTACGCCAGTGACAATCACGCCAATTAACCCCATCCAGGAAACAAACTTGCGTCCATACATATCTGATAACTGACCGTTGATGACGGAACCAAACAGAACACCGCAGAAAAATATTGAGACAGCATTCGGAGAAAGAATCGCTTGATCACATACTAAGTCCAACTAGGAATAATGATATAAATAATTACATTGTTGCATTTAAATAGATTTGAATTGTTTTGCGAGTAACCGTGTCTAAATTAAAGAAATTTTAATTACACAATAAACTGGTAAATAATAATAATAATAATAATAATAATAATAATAATAATAATAATAATAATAATAATAATAATAATAATAATAATAATAATAATCAAATAATCAAACTTTATTCTTATTCACGGTAAAACTTGACTCAACAGTAATTAAAAAGTTGTTTTCAACAAGGCAGTGTTCTTAACACTTTTCCTTAAATAATGTAGACCTGGTAGAACCTTACTTTTTACAGTCAATTTGTTTTTTTTTTTTTCAATTCAAGTTCTTATCAAAGATTACACCAAATGTTTACAGCTGTCAACATTTACAATGGACTCTCTTCTAAAGTTAAAAATTAATTTGTCTTATTTTTTATTTGTCATTCCTCGTGTAATTTTGTTCAATTATTGTTTTCCTCTTTATATCTAATACATATTTTATTTCGTTGAGAGAAGATGAACTGTTCCATTCGGAAGAAAAAGAGACATAACTTTATTTTTCAGAAATTTTCATTCGTTGCATGAACGAGTGTTTTTATTAAACATGGCCTTCTCTCTTTGAAATTATTAGTCTTTCATTTAACTCATAAAATATTCTTCCCCGTGCACTCATAAAATTTATTTATGAATTGAGCAATATAAATGTGAACAAAATTAGACCATCAACAATAGAGTGCCATTTCTATATTCTATGGAAAGTCTTCAACTTCAATTTGCTGATAATGAAAATCAGTGTAATGATATGTTTTTAATATATTAAAATCAGACCCCCCCCCCACTCTAATGTCAGAGGGCGCTGTCCTCCCTGTTTGTCGGGGAGAAAACATATTTATATGTATTTTCCACATATTAGTCTCTAAAGTCGATTAAATAAGAATTTGAAACCTTTAAAGATTTTGACCGACCACGCCCACTTTCCTCTTGTTGGGGACAGCGCTTCCCCTTCACCTCGTCGGAGACCTCGGACCCCCTCCGGATAAAAATCCTGGCTCCATCCCTGCTCATGCTCACATTTTAGATTGTGTCTTATTTTAGTACATGAAAAATGTCCAAACCATAAACGTAACACATGGGTACATCTTCCGTACTCATTAATATTAGTTATAAACAATGCCAACATTGATGCCAATATCCTGTTTTTAGTATTAAATTAATTTACGTTCAAAAGTCAGTTCGATCAAATGATCAAAAGATGTAGAGTCGTGTTAGATGTAAACGAATTAAGGCCAGCAAATTTTTAGCTACAAAACGTCTTTAATCCCTTTTAGAGAGTGGGTTGTGGCTACATTTGATGTTTATTTCAGTTTTATTTTCGGTCTTAAATACCCAGGTCAGCTTATAAGCGTCCATATGTTTTATGCATATCAAATGCTGCTGTAGACGACAATAATGCTATTGCAAAGTCACAGAGGCATTCCTATTTTCGAAACGGCCAAAGTTTAATAATAGTTAAATAACCTATTATACAAATTTGAAAGCAAACACTCTCTACATTGTCATTATCACTTTTACCCTCGTTAAAGCCGAAGGACCGAGCTACATTTGAAATACTGAATGCCGTGTTATTCTAAAGATATACTGTTTGTATTGAGGTTAATGACCAAACCTAAATCTGGGTTCTTCAAAAAGAAGGTCAATCTAAATCAGTATAACAATGGACAAGTCTAGAAACACAACTCCTGCATGCATTTTTAGTGGAAACTTAACAATCAGATAGTATACTATCATAAAATATAACCATCGATGTATTAAAAAAAAAAACACTGGTACATAACAACGTGTCAGTGTGAACAAAGCTTTAGAGATAGGCCTATAGGTAATTATATTTTATACAAGTGTTATCTAGTCAATGATTTGATTTATTAGAATCAACAAAATTAATGCGAACATGTTGCAATCTTTTATATTGCTGTTGATCATGTTTTGATATATATCGGAACATTGTGTAACATTTTACAACTCCATGCTCGGAGTTCCACAATCAGAAAAGGCGATGAATTTTAAGTATCTGGATGTAAGGATGTCTTTCCTTACCACCATTTTTATGTAATAAATCATACACTCTCCTGCTTTTAGCAAACAAAACTTGATCAATGTAATTCAATATTTGAATTACCAAGGCTATTACTGTATGGGCTACACCTGTCTCTTATACACATCTAGATGTGTATAAGAGACAGCTTTGCAATACTCCAAATTAGCTAGCTGGTAGTCAACTTACAGATAAGCTACCGGTATATATTTAGTGAAAGGTATATTGGCCTCAGTTTATCAACGAAAATTTCTTTTCGACCTATTTCTCACTAGAAATTGTTTTTTTTTTTAAACAATTAAATTTTTTAATTTAAATTATTTATTTATGTATAGATTTTACACTGATAAAAATAGGCCTGAGCCTTTCAAATATTACCTCAGTTACCAAGGAAACAACCTTTTTCGAATCATCATACACCCAACCGTTCTCACAATAAGTTGTCTCGTTTTGGTAGATGGTATCTTCGTCATATTTGTACATGCTACATTTTGAAGGTTTTCCATCCTCTCCGATGGGTATGCTAACATTAGCAGCAGCGTCTGTCTTGCATCTATGCGGCGGTTCGTACAGAATAAAAACTGATGAAAGCACTTGCCAACTCGGAAAGACGCCTTGAAGTATTGGTAGTATTATAAGAAGAGTAGTTTGGTAGCGCCCAAAATAACCGATTCTTTCAAGGTATTTGTCTATATCCATTTTGGCCTAATCTGTGCGATTAATGATCTGACAAATAAAACAATACGTCTGTTACTGTGGAGAACATTACCTGAAATGCGTTGAAGTCACTGTCTTGTCAATAACTGACGTCATAAAAAGTTATCCATTATGTGACCCTTCTGGACCTGGGATCCATATAGGCCTAACTAATATTAATATTAATATAGTCTGTAAATTTAATCAAAATGGTGTTTTCTCTGGAAATTGGCATTTAACAAAGCACGGAAATAAGGCACAAATATCGCCCCAAGAGTGTCATATACTCGAAGAAACTCAAAAAACGCTTATGCCTGTCAAATAAGTTCAACCAAATCTCATTACTATCGGGATCGGTGTCATTCACATATCAGCTGGAAAATGAGTTAAACTTATTTTATAGCCCTATCCGGAATCGCTCTATTCTAACCATGTAATAATTATGTCTTCGGGTGGAGCTATATAACATTCCTGTGAGTATTTTTCACCTCGGAGTTTTTTGGTCCTAAATAAATATACACTTGATGAATCGCATCACTACCATTTTAGATCTATGTGCGTTGCTGCCTACTTCTACTCTTTCAACGTCAGGTTATGACACAGCAATTAATCTTAATATAAATAAAATAAATCGTTAATCTACAGTTAGATCTCAGTGGCGGATTCAAGGGGGCGGGGGAGTCGCACCCCACTCTATTTCAAATTCCTGAATCCGCCACTGAACCTACCGATACTCAATCTTCAGGACAACGTTGAGAGCTGCTTACCTTGATACAGATGTGTAGAGTCGCACCTTTCTTTTTTTGGTGAAAGCTGCATACAAATTAGAATCATTCAGCCGTGTAAATTTCTTTTCAATGGCAATGGATTACCTGTCATAACAAGGAAGAGAAGGAACATTAAAGATGGGACATTCGTGATATTTGGATGTAGACGTTTTTTTTCATTGCAAGGAGAATATTTTTCTGATATATCACAACAGTTAACCTCTTAACATAATCATGACGGTATAAATACACTATGAGATACCGTATAATAAGCCGCCATTCATGTGACATCTGGTTGATACTTAAATCTGTATTGAAAACAATTTTAATGATGTTAGTTATGTGCAGTTATGTGCTTAGATCATCCACTTAAAAGTTTATGTTGAAGTTAGGGTGCGTTTTAATTGGAACCTAGGATATCATTTGTTTTGATCTAACATAAAAGTTAAACCTTTACATACGCAACCCCTTTAAAACTAACCCCTTCGTATCACTCTTTCTTCACACATACAAATAATCAATAAAATGTATTAATACATTTCTATATACCTGTATTGATATTTATAAACCGGTGTCCACAAGAAGGCCGTTCTATCCCTGATTTAGGAGTATGGTAAAAAAGAACGTGGGCCGAGGAAACAGTTCCGTCACTTAGCTGACACGTTGATCAGGGGTGGGGCGCATTAAAATTTTCCGAAGGGGTGGGGAGGTCTAGAAGGGCTACACCCACCTCAGTCACACCACGGTTGCACTCTTAGACTTATAGAGAAAAAAAAATGGATTTGACTGTTTTGCTGACATTCCGTTTTTAAAAACATCAAATGAGAGAATGGCAAATACCAGGAAAGTCGCATCCACCCAGTCCCCACCATGGATGGGGCTAAGGCGAAAAAAGTTAATGATGTAACAACACTATATGCCCAGAAATTGTAAGTAAGATTGTAAGTAAGTAAGTAAGTAAGTAAGTAAGTAAGTAGTAAGTAAGTAAGTAAGTAAGTAAGTAAGTAAGTAAGTAAGTACGGTAATTAATTAATTAATTAATTAAGTAAGTAAGTAAGTAAGTAAGTAAGTAGGGGAAAGTGGTAATTCAGTCCCTTTTTTGTATTTTCTAATATTTCTACTATTTGAAAAGGTATGTTTCTAATTGTAGTTATCTATGCTAAATTATACTGCAAAAAGTAGAAACATGAGGCTATCGTTTGCACACTAACACTTTATTAATGAAGATGCAGGGCCGGAATTGCCCCATGAGTTGGGTGTAATTCCGGCCCATATATACTAGTTGAAAGCAAAATATTAAAAAATAATTACTGAATTAATTGTGTTATCTACTAGGTCTACACTATTGAAATAAGTTTATGAAAGGCTAAAAACGTATGTCCATTTGTCCAGATAGTATATAGATATAAGCCTAGTCAATGGCGGGTCATTCACGTCTGATGGAATGTCAATGTCACTGCAACCCATCAGAATTAGTGTTATCATATTGTACCACAAGCCTCTTCATCTAACATACCGTAACCCACATAGACAAAAGTAGGCCTATATTATTCTGGGACCGGAATTACCCCAGACCATGAAGTCAAATTAATGACATTGGGCTAATTGAATTACTTAAATTTCATGAAAATCATTTTACATAATATGATAGTCATAAAGGTTGTATATATCAATGAATATAAAGAAAAACCAAATATAATGTGGGTGGTGGGTACAACATTCATATGTGATGGCTAATCTTGTTCTGGCAGGCTAAATATGTTTAGCCCTCCATGTTTTAGCTAAGCAGTGTTTTGTTTGCTGTATATTATGGAGGTCATAGACTACCATTTCACATAGATTTAAGTCAATATATAAACATTAGACAATGGAGTTGTATTGGATTACAAGCATCTGGGCTGGAATTACACCATGGCACTGGCGTAACGGCTATGAGCTCTTACTGGCTAAGCCAGAAGCCCCGAAGCCTCAAGGGGCCACCAGCAAATTCAAATAATATATATTTTTTCTTTGTTTTTTTCACAAACAAACAAGGCCCAAGGCCTTTTACCATGCCAAAGTCTGCGAGTGATTGGGGAATTTTTATTATCATCGCTATAGCCAGACTATATATTGATAAAAACGCATTAAACTTTATATTTAAAAAAAACAACATTAAGACCAATAAACACGTGAAACAAGAAATTAAACCATGAGCAAAAGCATTGACCATGAGTATGATACATGTCTTTGTCCATAAATATTTTTTAAAATTTTAATTGGCTCGTTTTGTTTGGAGTATTTATTGTAATAGGCCTGTGTTTATTAGTGATATCTAAGTTAAAATTAAGCATGCTTTTCTTGGGTCAAATCACGATACATAAAGTTAGAATTCGAATGTGTAAAAAAGGCATTAAAATACGTCATAGAACGCTAAAAACGCCCAGACCCACAAGGGCCCCGGCTCCCAGCGTCTGGGGGCCCATAAGGGACCCTGCCCAGGGTCCTCTGACCCCTTCGTTACGCCACTGTCCCAGGGAGACAATACATTTCAATTTAACCAAAAGCTTTCGTTCACAAATGCTATGAACTTTTCTTTATGACTCTCTCGGAGATTATAAATTCTTGATTTTGATTGGCTCTCCTAAACACCCCTAAAAGGTGCTAAGTGGCTTGTCGCTCTCATTCGAAAATTTACTTATAATAAACCTAAAAATCTTTAATCTCTCTGTTTTTCAATTTCATATGTTTTTATTATGTGAATATTCATCATTACTATTAGGCCTTTTAAACCTTTTTATGTGCGACTATTAATCATGGTATGCCTACAGTAATTATAAAAAAATCTATACAAAAAAGAAAATTATAAGACAGTGCCATGCCGACCACCTAGAAGTGCCATAATCATAAGTGTCCTTACGATCAGCCCCCATCCATATGTGAAAGTCCCTGGGCCCTCTATTTCAAATTCCTGGATCCCTATATAAAACATTTACCTGAACATGTTGTCACAATATAATAGTCACGATATAAGGTTTGATGTTTTGTATGGCAGTAGGCCTCGCATGCATTGACTTCGGAGTTTAGTGAGGTGAGAGTGCTGGGTTTGTTTATATCTGACTGTGCGTTAAAACCCTGTAAGTTACTTGAACATTTTGGACCAATTATGTTTTATTAACACAAAAACAATCAATCACTTATTCATGAGTGGTTTAATCTTCGATCATGAACCCGACATGAATCTTGATATGGGACGATGGGATTTCACCACCTGTTAAGCTTTATTGATGGCCAATTATTTATCATTAAGTACTTTGTAGGCCTACTGGTGGAGTTGGTTAAGTACCTCTGCTGGATTTAATTTTTTAGCACGACACCAGTTTCAATATGGATTTAAAAAAAATATATATTATAAGAGAATACATTCCTCTTCCCATTTCACCTCCTCAACCTCATCGAGACGTCACCGTTTACAATAAACTAAAATAACCAACTGTTGCTCGTCTATTTTTCAGTTAGTAGAGGAATATAATTTATAAAGATTAGAACGATATTTTACACTTATTTCAGCGACTATATAATAACTTCAGCAGAGGCGGCCGCTATAACTGAATTGGGTGGAGGAAAGCTTGGGGGCGCTATTTATTTATATCTTTCTTGGAGGTAGTGACTCGAGGGGGTAGATTAGAGAGGCCTATTTAACTTTGTTCATAAGAAAGCAGCTTTTTGATTTTGTAGTTAAAATGTCATTTCTTTGTCAAAAACAATGTTATCTAAAAAAGGTAAGTTTCTGAATTTTGTGGATTAGTCATGTGAATTAGTCATGTGAATACATTAGTCATGTGAATACTCGGCACTAGGCTAGGCCTACCTAGGCGTAGGCCTTAGTTAGGCAGTGCCGAGTAGGCTAGGCCTAGCTAGCCTAACCTAAGCCTAGGTAGGCCTTGGCCTAGCCTAGGGGCCTAGGCCCCCTAGACCTACATCGTAGCCTAGGACTAGGCCTAGATGGAGCAAAACCCTGCAAGTTACTTGAACATTTTGGACCAATTATGTTTTATTAACACAAAAACAATCAATCACTTATTCATGAGTGGTTTAATCTTCGATCATGAACCCGACATGAATCTTGATATGGGACGATGGGATTTCACCACCTGTTAAGCTTTATTGATGGCCAATTATTTATCATTAAGTACTTTGTAGGCCTACTGGTGGAGTTGGTTAAGTACCTCTGCTGGATTTAATTTTTTAGCACGACACCAGTTTCAATATGGATTTAAAAAAAATATATATTATAAGAGAATACATTCCTCTTCCCATTTCACCTCCTCAACCTCATCGAGACGTCACCGTTTACAATAAACTAAAATAACCAACTGTTGCTCGTCTATTTTTCAGTTAGTAGAGGAATATAATTTATAAAGATTAGAACGATATTTTACACTTATTTCAGCGACTATATAATAACTTCAGCAGAGGCGGCCGCTATAACTGAATTGGGTGGAGAAAAGCTTGGGGGCGCTATTTATTTATATCTTTCTTGGAGGTAGTGACTCGAGGGGGTAGATTAGAGGCCTATTTAACTTTGTTCATAAGAAAGCAGCTTTTTGATTTTGTAGTTAAAATGTCATTTCTTTGTCAAAAACAATGTTATCTAAAAAAGGTAAGTTTCTGAATTTTGTGGATTAGTCATGTGAATTAGTCATGTGAATACATTAGTCATGTGAATACTCGGCACTAGGCCTACCTAGGCGTAGGCCTTAGGCAGTGCCGAGTAGGCTAGGCCTAGCTAGCCTAACCTAAGCCTAGGTAGGCCTTGGCCTAGCCTAGGGGCATAGGCCCCCTAGACCTACATCGTAGCCTAGGACTAGGCCTAGATGGAGCAGGCTTAGGGCTAACTAGCGTTGTAGGCCATCTGCCTTAGTTAGTTGACCAAAACAAGACCACCTCATACATGGTGTTGATGTACTGTATTTATAGGGGCCTAGCTATGCCTAACCTAGTCCTAGGCCTAGTCCTAGTCTAGGGGCTAGGCTATATTTCTGAAAAGCATGATCCCCGTATTATGAATGCCAGTCAAGTCGCCCCCTTGTAAAGTCGCCCCTTACAAAGTCGCCCGCTACAAAGTCGCCCCCTTGTCAAGTCGCCCCTAACCAAGTCTCCCCCTAGCAAAGTCGCCCCCTAACCAATTCGCCCCCTTGACTAATATTGAATATTATTATTAACTAATCTTTGAAACTGTTACTTAGAACTTATTTAGGCCTAGGAGAGAGCTATGATGTCCGATTCGGTTGTGCACTTGTTCGGCCGTCAGATATTCAATGCCCAAATAAGGGTTATTGTATGGAACACCGAGTAGTGTACATGTAATCAATGCGTGAATTAGATATCATAGTGCCATGTTGGCCGCAGGTACGTTAGGGGGTATACCGTGGAGGGTAATCATCCGTAATAAAATCGAATTTCTGGAATAAAGAGTATAGGCCTAAATAAAAATGTATTGTTTGTTTTTACTTCTACTTAGGAGAACACAATACCGTTTAAATATGTAATTTAGTACATTATTGTTAAGATTGATTGTTTTATGGAGTAGTTTTAATAGCATAATTTTTAGTTAAGAAGTGTTTTACAGCTATAGTTAAACTTATCAAGAAAGTTGATTTGTATATTGGAATTAAGTATATAATATAATTAATTAATCCCGCATTATAATTATACTGTATATGTACAATTAAACAAGCGTACCTATTGCAAGACGATTATACGTTCTAGATAAAAGTGACTAATTGGTTACTGTATTTAAATAATTAATTAATAATTAAATCTACTGTAGGCATGAATGGAAATAAATTGCTTTAAATAGGTATCAAGTTGCCAGTAATAAGTTGCCTAGTAACAATTAATTCAGTGGGAAACGTTCCCACAAGTAGGGTCCAATGATACTCATGGGAGAATAAAGACACAAAGTTTTGTATGCGGCCAATTCAAGAATGTTATTGGAGATGAAGTCTTTGTACACCGCCAATTAAGGAATGTTATCGTAGACAAGGAAAGAATGTCAATGCTGATAATAAAATAATAAAATCCTTTGGTTTGATTATCAACATATAAATTTGTTTTGTTTCAAATAGATAAACCAAAATATATTATGAATCTTAAAATATTATTATTTTTACACAAACCTAATAAAATCCACTGTTCGTTTGTTTGTTTCAAATAGATAAAACGAAATATATGTTAAAACATTTATTAACTTACACAAACCTAATAAAACCCACTGATTTTTTTCGCAAACTAATCGCAGTAATAATGCCATTGAATTGCTTAAAATCACATTAAATAATTTTTAGCATAAAGACCTGATAATACAACACGATTATCAACATATAATTGCATATTTAATGTACATTCGTTTGTTTTAAATGGATAAAACGAAATAGGCTTATATGCCATCGAAATCATTAATTATTAACTTACATGGGACTTACACAAACTTAATCAAATCCACTGTTGTTTTGGCAAACTAATGGCAGCATAATAATGCCCGGATTTCCTTAAAACTATTACCGTAATTATTTGGCAACATAGAAGACTAACAAAAACACGAAATAATGGATACTGTAGCACCAATAAATCCACTGTTCGTTTGTTTGTTTCAAATAGATAAAACGAAATATATGTTAAAACATTTATTAACTTACACAAACCTAATAAAATCCACTGATTTTTTCGCAAACTAATCGCAGTAATAATGCCATTGAATTGCTTAAAATCACATTAAAGAATTTTTAGCATAAAGACCTGATAATGCAACACGATTATCAACATATAATTGCATATTTAATGTACATTCGTTTGTTTTAAATGGATAAAACGAAATAGGCTTATATGCCATCGAAATCATTAATTATTAACTTACATGGGACTTACACAAACTTAATCAAATCCACTGTTGTTTTGGCAAACTAATGGCAGCATAATAATGCCCGGATTTCCTTAAAACCATTACCGTAATTATTTGGCAACATAGAAGACTAACAAAAACACGAAATAATGGATACTGTAGCACCAATAGATTAACCACACACACACACACTCACACACACACACACATACGTACAGCATGCATAGCTTTGCGCCTACTTGGCGTTCCATACAAATATATCCCGGCCGAACCGGTCCTACACCACCGGCCTAGCTAGCTCTCTCCTAGGCATAGATACTGTAAGTTCTAAATAAGTTTCAAAGGTTAGTTAATTATAATAATATTCAATATTAGTCAAGGGGGCGACTTGGTTAGGGGGTGACTTTGCTAGGGGGCGACTTGACGGGGGCGACTTGGTTAGGGGGACGACTTGACAAGGGGGCGACTTTGTAGGGGACGACTTTGTAAGGGGCGACTTTACAAGGGGTCGACTTGACTGGATCCCCCGTATTATAGGTATGTTTAAATACGCCTTTGCCACGAATTGGTAGACATCTTGAAGTGATGACAAACGTTGCGAATCAGCGGTGCATAACCAACAGTAATAAGTTCAGTAGCATAGTATTTTCATGTTGTTACTGTTCTAGGTACCAATAATATACAGATTTCTCTTATTATAATAAAGTACAAGTTATGTTTTATAAAGAAATATAGCATAGTAAATCGTGTTTTTAACACAGAAAACTCTCATATGGTAACTAAAACAATGCTAGTTCAGAGTATTACTAGTACTACTGCACTGTAATGCATAGACCTATTTTAATACACTACTTAGATAGGCTTTTCTTTTACCATCTTGATTTCAGAGGTCAAAAACATTTTTTTTCAATCATATAGTAGTGTAGACTAATCTTATAAGAACATTTTGCTGAAAATGTTTTTGGATACGATGCCCTGTTATGGAGTTATGATTTTTTAAATAACATGATGTCAGAAAATCAGCCCAAAAACTTATCTTACTTCTGTTGGTTACGCACCGCTGATTCGCAATGTTTGTCATTACTTCAACATGTCTACCGATTCATGGAATAAGCCTATTCAAGATGCTTGCAGTACATCACGACGATAGGCCCTTTGCTTAGGCGTACATCTGAAAAGGAATGATTAAATAAAAAAAAAAGAAAAGAAATGAAGGACCATTGATTTTCCACTAGAATAGGGCTTTAGTGCACACATTCTAAATTTTTGCTTTTCCCTGACCAAAACCAACCCAACCCCGGGCTGCATTTTAACTTGTGATATACTGTCTCTTTTTAGTGCAAGACAGTTGTCACTAGCTGCACTCCTGCAAAATGTTTGGTAGATAAAAAAGAGAACAAATGCATCGATGGCTTTGAAGTAATCTTAGAAGATACAGTATTATTTCCTGAAGGCGGTGGCCAGGTAAGTAATTTAAATAATTTAGTGAAGTTTACAAAATGTGAGCAGTTTGCAATCCATATTTCATTTCATTTTAACAAATCAAGGATTCTGTTTTAATAGAAAAACCATTTTGTGACCAGCACAATGCAAAATATCAGGATTTACGTTAGATAAAAATTATCTAATTAATTTTTTTTAGGATTTACAAAATTCTTGCTTGACTTTGATAAAATCGTAGTGTTTTTATTTTATTCTTATTTGGTTTTTAGGATACCATTTATCATCAGACACAAAACTCATTATTTACAGTAATCATAATATTTGATTATATGGATATTTATTCAGACAATTTTTTTTTTTCATTTTAGCCAGACGACAGAGGAAAAGTATCCTTTTTGTGTAAATAATTTTATTATTTAAATTCTGTACAATAGTTTGTCCATATTTAGTGACACATGTATGAACACAAAAGTACATTAAATTATGATGTGTGAAAAGCATGACAAAAATATTGTATGGATCTTAGACTACATTTTTTTAAATTATAAAATTACTTTTCAAATATGGTTTGTGAATGGAGAACCCCTAGACCGCTTATCAAATGCAGCATCAATAATACAAATTCAAACCGTGTTTCTGATACCTTGATGCAGTGTCCTTATTCTTACACACCTATTCGATCGATTAGGTAATGCCCCTTTAGACACAAGCTGTAATTGCAGGGTAAAGAGGCTTTTGACAATTAGTGACCATAATCACCATCTTGGCACCAAAGTTCCTAAACCACTATTCAGATTAATGGAACTGATGTTTTAAAAGTGTGGCGGAAAGGTGCACATGCTATTCATTTTGTAATGGCTGAACAGAATGTCGGCCAGGAAGTTGAAGTGGAGGTTGACTGGCAAAGACGCTTTGACAACATGCAGCAACACTCAGGTGGGCATCCAATTTGCCATAGATTGGATTGGATTTTATTTGGGTGTGAACACCAAGATTAATCCATAAAGGTCCAAAGACTTATTCCTTCTGGTGTGGTTATTGGACAGTACACCTGGGGAGACAATGCCCTGCTCTTTTCTGCATTAAGAGTGTACTGTGTTCTTTAACATGCACATGGGATATATTAGGCCGAAAGCCAAGAATTGCCAAGCAGTGAACTTAGTCACTATTCAAAGTAGCATATCCCTTCACAAGATAAACACAAGATGCTCTACATAAACTGAGTCGCATTATGAGGCTTACAGAGTGGAGTTGTTTTGGTCATGAGAAAAAATCCTGTTATACCGTGACAGGAATTGAACCCAGGACCCTGGGATTGGAAGGCAGGCATCTTCACCACCAAGCTATTCAACTCCACTCAACATAGTGGAGGCGAGTTGAGTGGACGAGCTGTAAGGCAAGGGCGCTGTTAACTACAGCCTTAACATCGGCGCTGGTTTGTTCTTGCCCAGGGTTTGGTTGCTAGAAACAAGTCTTTTTGGATAATAAATTTAGAGAGCAGCTTAGCTCAGTCGGCTAATCTGGTGGTAGCCACTGTGTGTGCGCTGAACCGTGGAGATCCCTAGGTCCCTGGTTCAATTCCCATCGCTGCCTCTCCTTGTGTTTCAGGCCTGAAATACAAGTTACAATAGCGCACCGTCTTTCGGATGAGACGTTTAAGCCATTGGTCCAGTGTGCATTTATGGCCCATGTGTACGTTAAAGAACGCAGTACATTCTTCGGAAAAGAGTAGGGGATTGTCTCCTGGTGTACTGCCCAATCACCACCAGAAGGACCCCACTGGAAATAAGTCTTCTTCTAGACTTTCGTGGGTTATCCTTAGTGTTTACACCGAATAAATCCAATTCAATCCAAATTAAAATGGATGTCTAGTGCACACCTCTGGCTCTTGTGCACTTTGAAGAACCCATTGCATCTTTCAAAAGCGGGGAGTTACCCCGATGCTATGGTTCATTTCAGCCCCTGTCATTTTGGAACGATGTGAACATGTAGCTACTATAAGCACCTCTTTATGGTCGCTAGGTAGTAACAGACCACGCCCATACGCAATTAAGCACAATGATGCTGCGAGTTATTGGTTATTCCCCTACCTTTAACTTTATAGTATGGGACAAACTGCTTGAACATCTCTTCCAAAAGATGGTGCATTTTTTGATACTCGAATTCAGATGAAATTAAACCGGGTGATAAAGTTTAACGATGGATTTCCATGGTTCAGCACACACACAGTGGCTACCGCCAGCGAGCCGACTGAGCTATGCTGCTCTATCTACGGTATCAAATATTATGTGACAATAATAATTTTCCTTTAAGTTGTCTTGCATATAGCATCAGTTTTTTTTTTTATTGGTAGGCCAACATCTAATAACTGCAATAGCCGAGAGTTTGTATTCCTGGCCTACAACATCTTGGTTAGTATTCATTTTATTTTTATTTTTTCACACTAATGACAATCTACCATAGCATGAACTGATATGTAGCTTTATTATTAAGTGGTTTGTTTTTCAGTATAGTATAGCTTTTTAATGGTAAATATGTTTTTTAAAACATTTTTTAATAGGCCTATTACCTTTTTGCAATCATCAGAATGTTTTAATGATTTACAATTTGATCAAACATGTGGTTGCATCATTAGCGATTACTTATTAACACAAGGCCTACAGCAAGTTGTGTGTTTCTTTTTCCCATACAGATATAGCCGACTTTCACATTACTTTCGTTGGGTGATGTGGTCTATGGATATACAGTACATTGGCCTTAAAATTAATTTATTTTTTAATATCGCATTAGAAGACGCTTCTGTAATTTCAATAATAGTGATGCTACATAAACATATGCTATCACTGTAAAGACATTCAGTTCCATCCATTTTGATTCGTCAATGTTCAATAGGTCTTCTGCGACTTGTCTAATGACAGTGACTGACCTAATTACTTGTTTAAATTTCAACAGAAATAGAAACTGTTTCCAAAAAAAATAGAGGTCGGGTTGCCAAAGTAGGTCAGATGGAACATAGGTTCAGCATAATAAAAAGTTAGAATACCAGTGGTTCTACAGTAGATGGCATAAAAAGCAAAACATGATGTATAGATATATAAAGGTTAGTTTAGGGCAATAAAATAGATTTCCAAAATTTTGAAATTCCAGCATGTTTTGGCCATTATATGTGAAGATGGTTTTGTGACAAGTGACTGGGTTGGCTTATCTTTGCCTCATATTTTGTTTTTTATTGATTTATTAATTTTTTTTATTTTCATGGATTTACTGACTGGTATTTTTGTGATACTCTGCAAGCTATAAAAAAAACCATATTGACCTTTTATGTAATTTTATCATAGGGATCTTGGTGAGAAAGTTTCAACTATTGAATTAGATACTGTTAAAATAACTGATGACCAGCTACTTGCGATTGAGTCAGCTGTCAATGAACAGATTCGCAATGCTGTTCCTGTAAAGGTGCGGCTCCTGGAATCTGGATCAGACGAAATGGAAACGGTATAAAATGCTTTCCTTTCAATCTCCACCATCATTTGTTGTTCATTTAAAATACAGTAATATGATTGCTAATGGATAAACAGAGCTTTGAACTAAAGTTAATATATAAAAATACTGTGCAAATTTTAGTCCATAAAGATTATTGTCGGTAGAAAAAATTTTTTCAAAGTATTGAATTGCTCATTTGAATAGACCAAGTAGGCCTATGGCATGAAAATCAGGGGCTGATTCATAGGGGTGTGGGGGAGGTTAGTTGCCCGCGACCTCCTGCCATCTATAGAGCCAAAGACATACAATTTCGTACCTTGGCCCAAACCATACTGGGACTGATGTGATCCAGCCACTCAATCTATAAAATTTCTCTCAAGGCGCCCTGTTTTTGGGATTCCTGAATCCGCCACTGAACGTCCAATCACATTCACACCCAAATAGAAATAAGACTTTTCACTAATTAACAATTCTTATTATTTATTTGCCACTTTAAGGGTCTATGAATTTAATCAAACATTATTATTGTGGTTATTGGTAAGGAATACATTTTGTCATTCCAATTTTTAACTGAATGCTAATAAGAAATACAATAATGTAGAGAATCCAAATAATTATTGCATTATATTGTTCAATTGGATTAACTCATACATTTGTTACATTAGATAAGAATCTTGTTCAACATAGAACATTACTGACATATGCTATCTGACTGCTAACTGAACTTTGGACAAGTAGAAATAATTTTTGCTGAATGCTAATAACATTAAAATACACCTATTAGGTAAACCCAATATTGAATTTCCGGCCATCTAGAGGTTCAGACAATACTTATTAGATAAATTTCTTGATGAACATGGAAAATTACAGTCATATCTAACTTTAAGCTGTACTTCAGACAGGTAGTGATAATTAAAAGTATAAATAATACCTGAGTGATTATGATAATACAGTTATTTGTAAGTACCCCTATTTATTTGAATATATCAAAGATTATAATTATTTTCAAGCATCCAGGATCCTTTAACAATCTTATTTTGAGTTGCATTAATCGCTTCTAAAAATATACTACATAATACAATGATCAGTATACTGTATAATAATACAAAATAATAAAAAGCCAAAGCCTTTAGAGATTAGTTGAGATGTCTATTAAGACAATATTTCATGTATACAGTAAACCTCTTCAGGTGGAATAAATTTCAGTTGAAGAAGTGTAACTGTGTACATTGTTACTGTTTTAATAAATATCGTACTCTAAAAGTGCTACTATTGCATAGGTCATACAGTAAGAGGTCATATGAATAGATATTAAGGAGGTATACATAGGCTGTATGGATAGTAACACATTTCATAAAACAGTTCATAATATTGTATACATTACTTAAGGAACAATGCTGAGTTTCTTTCATCCATGTACATTAAAATACATTGATTGTATTCAATTATTTTTAGTATGTAAATGAAACAATTTTACCTTGATAGATACGATCACGTGGCCTACCAGATGACCATGTTGGTCCGGTAAGAGTTGTTGAAATTCAAGGCATAGATTCTAACATGTGTTGTGGAACTCATGTCTCAAATCTAAGCCATCTCCAGGTGAGTCTTGTAGTATGTGTTAACAACATAAATCAGTTTTTATATAGATTTCAGGTCAGTGCCTGTAAGTCATAAGTATTAAGATTAATCTAACAGTGCATTAAAGGGTAGAAGAGCATTTAACCCATTTCCATGCAAGTCTTGCAGTAAATTAAATCTATATTGAAATCATTCTTGCAGTTATTTACGCTATATCTAAGTCAGTCTTGAAATATTTTAAAATCATATCAAGATTAGTCTATACACATTGTTAAAAGACACACATTTCTCTCAAAAATCATTTAAGCCATTTCCAGTAAGTCTTGCAGAAAATTATAATTCAGATTCATATCAATCTTGCAGCGCATTTAAGCCACATGTTTGTCTTAATTCATTTTAAAACTACATACATGTTAGTATAAATTTTATTAAATATATTTAGGTCATATCCAGGCTTTTTAGCACATTCAAGTTCTATCCAGGTCAGTCTTTTAGTACATTAAAGCCATATCCAGGTATAGTGTATCTAAGATCATAACCAGCAATAGTAATATCCAGGTACATCTAAATACATTTTTCAACTGGTTTTATTCTAGTCAATAAAGTTATTGGGGTTAACTAAAGCTAAAAAAGGCAAATCCAATGTTGTGTTTGTTGCTGGCAATCGTGTTTTGAGGTACCTCGGATCATGCTATCAAACAGAAAAGGCGATGACCAAACTACTTAAGTAAGTAGCATTGTTATTCCCTTAACCATTTTCATGAATTTTAAAGAAAAACTGTTTTGGGCAAGTATAATCTTTGTAATACAAATCATGAGGAAGATATAAAGCACTTTTTATACTTGCCCTGCTCTTTTAGGCATCAAATAGATTGGAAGAGTTGTCTAAACTACGAAATTTTTATGACATTTACAACCAGTTTTATGTAAATTTCAAATACTGTACAGTATACTTTTTCTTTATAGAGAGCAGCTTAGCTCAGTCGGCTAATCTGGTGGTAGCCGCTGTGTGTGCGCTGAACCGTGGAGATCTCTAGGTCCCCGGTTCAATTCCCATCGCTGCCTCTCCTTGTGTTTCAGCTAGAGGGCTGAAATATTGACAATAGCGCACCATCTTTCGGATGAGACGTTTAAGTCGTTGGTCCCGTGTGCATTATGGCCCATGTGCATGTTAAAGAACGCAATACACTCTTCGGAAAAGAGTAGGGGATTGTCTCCCAGTGTACTGCCCAATCACCACCAGAAGGACCCCACTGGAAATAAGTCTTCTTCTAGACTTTCGTGGGCTATCCTTGGTGTTTACACCGAATATATCCAATCCAATCCAATTAAATGCCTAAACATTTTTACCACCATTCAAAGCCTATAGGTTGATTTAAACAAATTGACAGTGTGGACACATCTTCCCTAATAATTACGACACACTGGATGATTATTTTGTATTTTTTTTTTTAGGTGTACCCCTGTGGAGCAGACTTCTGCTGTTGAAAAGGTTCAGAAAAATCTTAAAGAAGTCTGTAAGGTAAGTTTCCAGCTTTATTATTATATAATCTCACTTTATTAATTTAAATTTATTAAAAATTAAACACATACATAGAATTTAATTGGTCTGAAGATAATGACTGTCGGTACAATCTTTGTAATACAAATCATGAGGAAGATATAAAACACTTCTTTATACTTGCTCTGCTCTTCTAAGTATTAAATAGATTAGAAGAGTTGTCTAAACTTAAACATGCTTTACTAAATTCTAATATCATTTACAACCAATTTTTAGAAGCAGATATTAATACCAAATTACATTATTACTTATAAAGCTTACATTGTGTCTGATAGACAGTGGCACAATTAACACAACATATCTAAATGTCAAGTACTGTATAATTTTTTTTAAATGCTTAGACATTTTTACCACTATTCAAAGCTATAAGGTGATTTAAACAAATGTTATTGTGTAGTTTATATTTTAAAATTGATTGAAATCAATGGCCTTTATGACCTGGTGAATGAGATCTTTGACCTCTTAGTAATAAAGATAATACTGCATCACTTTTGAGTTTGGGGCTATGCATCCAATAAATATCTACCATAAACTTGTCTCTTTTTAGGTGTCTAACCGACTTCTAAAGATGGTTGCTGTTATGCGAGCACAAATTTACGTAGAGAACAAGGATAGAGATCCAGTGTTTGTACAACATGAGAAAGACGGCGATTCAGAGTTCCTCAATATATTAGCAAAGGCAGTAGGGGACAAGGTAGGAACAATTGCATTTTATTAGACCTACAATTTCTCAATTCAGGAGTGCAATTGCAGGTATTTTAAAGCAGCAAACCAGGTAATTTATTGCAGATTTCCTCAAGAAAAAACTCACAGGATCAACAATGTAAACAGTTTTTCCATGTATTTCTTGGGGAGAGTAGTTTTATGGAATGATAACACACAGATATCCAAGGTTAAATGCACACATATTCAACCAACTGTGCTATGTTACACTTATTATTATGATAATAACTTTATTTGTGAAAACAGTATTTTATAACAGCATCACACAGTCTGTGGTACAGTTATTTTATTTATTTATTTTTTTATATTACTATAATATGATGTATATAGTTGTCTGGTAACAATAAAATTATATTGATAATACTCTCTTATTATTTTTATTATAACTAATTATGTCCTAATTATATGTTTTTAATTACAGGCTCGTTTTATGTTTCTAACTGGAGGAGATGAGAAACGTGCTGGTTTATATCTTCTGATTGGACCACCAGAGGCCATAGCAAGCCTTGCACCAAAGTAAGATAATTAAACGTAACGTATACATAAATCCCTATTTAAGCATTGTTTGTACTGTAATGTAGGTTTTCCCATGTTTATCCTAAATTGGGGATGTACTGAATAAACGCCAACATTATATAAACTATATAAATACATTTGTTTATTTTACACAGGGTGTCTGAATTATTAGACGGAAAAGGTGTACTCAAGAACGGGTGGTTCCAAGGAAAAGCAAACAAAATGGCTGGCAGGTCTCAAGCAGAACTCCTACTCAGGAAATACATAACAGATCATGAATTATAAGTTTAATGAAGATTGTTTAAGATTCCTGCAATTTAGAAATTCTTTGGGACAGAGACTGGTATTGTGTATGTACTGTACTCAGAATGAAATCTGCCTAATGGTTTATAAGTCAATACAAATTCCAGATATTTTTAATAAACCTTGAAGAAACCAAAAAAAAAAAAATTATAATGCAAAGAGAATCAATGTTTTATTTCTAGTTTTCTGTTGTAAAATAAAAGTAGCCTTATTTAAATTACAGATGCTAAAGATTAGTGTTTTTGGTTAAACTTGTACAAGGGATAAATTATTCTTGGTATAATAATAGATATTATATTGTTGGATTAAACAAAAATTCAGTAATCAATTTTACTTAGCTTTTAGACAGTTTATTTTAAAATAGTATATTTAAATACTTTATTTTGACTTGAAATTTTAGTATCTGCTAATTGTCACATTTTTATCATCTTTATTTACCCCATTTTATAATACTGTACTTAATTATTGAAGATTAGAACCCAATATAAAAAAAAACATCCATGACAAAGGAATATTCTAAATGGATTCCATGGTTAGGAAATAGACAGAGAAAGTAAGGTCGAGAATGAAGTCTTCTGAATTTATGGAGATAAGATTGATGGCAAAGGCAATGACAGGGAACGTTGGTGTTGACTTGGGAAGTCTTTCATCCTGGAGTGGCCAGATTATGGATGATTATTCTACAAAAATACTGTAATAGGTTATAAGCCTTTCTATATTATAAAAAAGTTCACACACAGAAAATGAGATTAATGAAAACAAAATATATTGAGTATGCAATGTAAATTCTTCAGTTATACAGTGTTTAGAGCTTGGAAATTTTATATAATTAAAGGCCTGAATAGATGAATCTTCTTCAATCAATGTTGAATATGATTTGCAAAACATGCATATGATGATTTATACCATAAACTTTTGTATCATTATCAACCTCGATGCTGAAATTTATTTAAACAAATGTGGACAGCTTAAAAAAAAATTTAAGTCTGTCATAATCAAGTGATACTGTATGTCTGATCCACATGGGCCTAATCCAAATTTGTATTAAATGGTCCTTCCAGAGCCATTTAACATGGCACCTCCCTGCATTCACAAACAAGGAACAAGACATTGTGTTGAGCGTGAATAAATGAAATACTTTATTAAGTAAAAAAAAATCTAGTTATCCACAATAATTACAATATAGGTTAACAGCTTTGGAGTACAAACAAGTCCGAGTAACAAATGTGTTTATATTTAGTTCAACGATAAGCAAAGTACATTGAGTTTTTTGGGGGAAAAAATCTGACTTTCTTGTTTTAGCATGATCCAACTGATATATTACTGGTTTACATTTTGTTGAAGGTACCATAAAGATAATTCTACATGCAGAAAGGAAATTTATACCTACAAGATATCAGTGTTTAATTATAGTATGTATTTTGTATGTTTTTAATTGTTTAATATCAAGATGCATACATATTCAGCTCAATCTTTTGATTATTATAACATTTTCTTTCCTTTTTTATATCATTTTGATTTTATTAAATATTAAAATGACCTCCACTACAACCTCTTTGGTTTTTATTCAACATTATATTTAATCTTGTCTTAAAATTGAGGTTCATGTAATACATACTGTAGTTTATTGGGTATAAGGCCACACCTTTAAAAACTGGGTATATAATACTGGGACTATAAAAAACAAAGAGTAGCGGGCATACAGTCAAAATGCTAGATAGTTCTAGCTTATTCTTGCAGAAGAGCTGAGGATTAGGTAACCCTGTTTTAGGCCTGGTGGGCATGTTGATGGATTTCAATGTAGGTTCATTATACTCTGACTTTTTATAACCTGCAAAATTTCCATTCAATTAAGTACAATGGTGTTTAGCATGGCTTACAAATAATGATTGTTTATGAGAGCAATGGGAAGAATATTTTCATGAGATGAAGGATTGACTGAATGGAGATTCTTTTCATTTCAACCAATCAAAATATTGTACAGTATTAGGTTGAAGTCATACTGTATCCTAAGTGTTGTGCAATGGAGCGAAACAAATGGAAGTAAAAATGCCTGGAACTAAATTTCCATGATGAGTGATGAAATGGGGTAAATAATCAATGTCACATGATAGGAAATCAACCAATCATATGACAAGGATATACTTAAGTGTGTTATAAACCCAGTTGGAACATTTTGCTTGAAAGTAAGTTGTGGGCTTATACCAAAAAAACTAAGGTATATAATTACTACTTTTTGTTTTACATTAATAGCCTCCTTAATTACACTGAGTATTATTTATTGTTAAAATTTATTCATAAAATTTGAGTAGAATTAGACCATTCCATATGTATTTTCAAGGGAGCCAAGATTCTTTGAGGGCAATTGGCTGATGTGCTCCACACCAAGTTGTTAAGATTCTCTTAGCCCCTACAAGATCAGGCCTAGGCTAATCAATTTCCCTTTCCCAGTTCCGTTTGTTATACTGTATTGCTCTATAGATGCTGCATTAACCAGCTAAGTATAGTTGTCTCGTAGTGTTCCTGCGCTTCAGGCTGTCTTATACCATGTCTCTCCTTTGGATAAACCTACAAGCAAAACATTTACATATTTAATAATAGTTTACATTTATATAAGCACATATTGCGCAGTGCCTCTATGCACTTTACATCAAATCATAAAACAAAAGCAATAATAAGAAGCCATTGGTAATGGTAAAAGTAGAACAAAAATGTATCCACTATAAAGACAATCAGCCTTTATACTTCTTACTTAAAAAAAAGGCTAAATGTAGATGGCAATGCCATTCAATTTTGTGTTTCATATTGTATGAGTGAACTGAGAAATGATTGAAGGCAGTGTGTATGGAAATGTAGAGTAAAATATATGGAAGAATGAAGACTGGGGATAATATACTTTCCTAAGTGTCAATCAAATTTAAGAACTGACTAATCACCAGGCCAGTAACCCCACACTCATAAAGTCCCCAAAACCCATGTGTGTACATATGCTTATGCTGTTGTTTTGTGGGACCATTACTTAGAAACATTATCAAGAGGTGGAGCTTCGTGGAAAGGGAAGATCAATTACCTGCAACATGTATGGTTTACAAGCTTTGATGAGTTCCTTGATTAAAAGGCTTGTATGATGGAAATGCACATTCTCATCAATCAATCCATGGATTATTAACAAACGATTCTCTCTGAAATATAAAAAAAATAATCAATTACTAAAAACACTTTTATGGTGAGCCTGAATTAATGCTGCAAATCATGTTGAAAGTATAAACATTCTGAACTTTTTAACAGTGAAGTGATGCAGTGCAGAGCATATTTTATATATTTGACATAAAATTAAAAAAACCCAGAAATAGACTATAAGATTTAAAGATTTAGCCTTTAAAATGTTTCATAAAAAATATATTGAATAGTTCATTAAAAAAAACCCACTTTCAATGAGACACAGAATGAAACCATTCTCATTTGATGAATTACTGACAAAAATTACTGGCCATCAATAATTTCATTTTCTTTCCCTTTTTTTTTAACTTTCCAAAGGGGGACTGGGGCCAGCTCGGCCCCCACTAAATATGCCCCTGGCTGCCATTTTAAGCGTTTATAAAAGAATGTAGGAAAAGTGTTAATATGCTCTTTTCTTTTCTATGTACCATCTCTCATTCTTAGTTATTGCTAGCTTTAGCCTCCAAATCTGTTAAATTTTATCACACGCTTTGGAATCAGATACAAGATTTCAACAGACAATAAAAATGTATTCATACATGTAAACACTTATAAGACTAATTGATATAAAATATATTATTTTTAATTAATGCATTATAACTTACTCATTTGGAAAATTCTTGACTAATTTAAGTACAGATCCTTGCTGGTAGCCCTGTGGATTATTCTGAGGGGTGTCCATGTACCTCTCAGTGTAACCTGTGTCGTACTGTTTCCAACATGTTACTGGTGCCCCAGCTATTGCAACCTGCCATTAAAAATAAACCAACATGTAAATAGATTTCTGTCACCATTTTTTTTTAGTTCTTTCTACAGGACAGTGCCACCTGTGCAAGGGCAGATTCAAGAGAAGGCCCAAATTGTTGAAAATAATTTTAACAAAAAAAAAAAAAAAAAAATGGGAAAAAAAATAAAATTTCATTTAAATGTCTGAGAGTGCAAAACCCATCAAGAGCTGCCATAGCCCTACAATTTTATACCTCAACACAACTATGATGGGACTGATGTGGTAAGAACCCTCTAATGGTACAAGTCCCTCCCAGGCTCTCTATATTTTAATTCTTGAATCTGCCACTGCTGCTGGTGATTTACTTTGAGAATTCACCAAAAAAGAGTGTATAAAAGAGCGTATGCATTAAGCATATTTATAAATTATTTTTCATAGTATATTTGAATGATCCAAATTTTAGGCTGGAAACCAAGCTACATCATTTTCGATCAACTTGATGTTCAAAGTTTCAAAAATTAAACTTGGGAAGTGGAATTGGTTTTAGTCATGAGGAATTTCTTGGCATTTTATTAATACAAGGATTGAACCAGGAGCCTGGGAATGGACAGTAGGATCATAATCTAGCCACAGTACTACATAGCCAACAAAATTGCATTGGACATATGAATCTGAAAACATATTATCAACAGGAACTTGGTTTCATAACTCTGTTGGTATCAGAGTGACTGGAACTTTTGGAAAGGCTGATTCAAGTAAACAAGACAATGTCCTTTGATTCTGCACTATTCAATGTTTAGCTGGTGATGCAAAATCCATATCGATGCATGAAAAATAAGTATATGTAGGGCTTCCTAATTTCCACAAAAAATATACTGTATAAACAATACCTTAAATACATCTGGTCTCCTTGCTAAGCCCATAAGGGAGAGATACCCTCCGTAACTCCAACCATGTATGGCAACCCGCTTTAGGTCGATGAAGTCCATCTTGGCTGCAATCCAGTGCAAACCTTCAACCTGTTCGGCTATCTCTACTGTTCCCTGCCGATCAAAACATACAACAACGTTAATCTGCAAGTTGTATTGGTGGTAGATATCTCGGTACTGAGAAAAAAGGTGCAAATTTCATATTATACTATTTATAATCATTGTTAAAAATTTTGATAAATTACAATTGTTACCATTTTGTTTTTGAGTATGGATTCAAACTTAAGGCCTCTGTGGCTGGATCCCCTGGTGTCGATCACTAGCACAACATAGCCTAAAGAAGCTAATGTATGCAACCGTAATAACTTAATGCCTTTGTATGAATTGGTGACAAGCTGTACTTGAGGGCCACCATAAACAAATAGAACAGTTGGATATTTTCTGCCAGGTTCAAAATTGTGCGGTTTGTAGACGAGACCAAATACTTCGTCACCAGCAGAGTTTTTGTAGCTGACTAGTTCAGGTGGGATATAGGAGATTCCAAGTGCTGTGGAAAATAAAATAAAACTAAGAAATATAATAAATTATTTTATTAATATACCATCATATTTATTGTGGTGCAGATAATATAAAGTTTACAGCATGGCGATGTTCATTAGAAGAAGTATGACATTCTAAATTTGTTTCTTTTAATTAAACATTTATTTTATTCTCACAAGCCAACAATATAATCATGAATGTACAAAACACTTCATAAGCAAGGCACTTCCCACAAAATATAAAAATATATGCCTGACTCAGGGTATTCCTTAATAACAGGAAAGGTAAATACTCAGACCTAGAAAAAAAAAAATGTGCCCTCCGACTATGACAATTAACCTTATATAATGCCTACAACACAGAATATGATCTGTGCACTATATATATACAAACATTGGTTGTCTGGAGCGAAAAGAAAAATAAATAAATATGAACATGCTGGTGTGCACATTTTTCTGCCCTGTAAATACCTGTAGATTGGAGTAGAGGCCCAACTGTGACTGGTGACATGCCCATGATTCTCTCTTTCAGTTGATATACTGTAGCTGCTGGTGTGTTTGATAAGTTACTGTAGATTGTGACAAAATAGTCACAATCCTGAAATGAAATAAACAAATTTGAATGAATTAACAATAATAAAATCTTTATTTGTCAACACAAAACCTGTACAAGAAAGGTTTTTTTTTAATTATTATTATAAAGATGATACAGATTTAAAAAAAAGAAAAAAAAGTTTGACCATATTGAGATTTGAACCCAAGACCTTCAATTAAAGTTCAATCATATACTCTACTAGCACCGAGCTTGGAGGTCAATATGGTATGGTGTCTTTGATTTTCCCAGTTGCACATATTTTCCTCAAAGTATTGAATAAAATGAAAATGATTGATATCACATGCTATTAAGCTGTACAGAGGCAACACCTCTCTCAAAGAGTTAATAATCATTACCTCGCTCATGTAAACTGTGTGACTGGATCCAAGTTCAGTTAGTCTCAATGGACTGCCTGGAGAAGAGTAGCATGTAACATACCTATTTAAAAAAGAAAGAAAATATTAGCTAATAATAAAATAAGCATTTACTTAATAAACAACTAAATAATATTTGATAATAGTAATAATTTGTTTTATATAAAATTTTGGTCAGTCAGTTTGGTATCCTGATTTACAATAAATGTTGACTTGGGTTAAGGTGGGTCAAAGGGCTTTGCAGAAAAGAATATATTCAAATCTTACAGGTGTTCCTCAAGTGGAGTATGGTGGTGTGCCATGTAGTAGAGCAACTGGTGTCCAGGGTCTAGCCAAACTCTTCTACCAACCACTTCACCATCACCAAATGTTAACTGGCAATGATTTAGTATCACTGGTTTCAGATTACCTAATGTAGGGAATCAAAACAATATAAATATAAACTGTCTTTATTGCGATAAAGAAATTGAATGACAGAATATTTAGATTACTTACTTTCCATTAAGAATAAGTTCATTAATTATTTCAGAACAGCAAAATTTATTAACAGACAAATGTTAAATACTGTAGGTATGAAACAAGAACTAAATACCAACCAGGGACTTCTCCAGTTGACCTTAGAGCTGATGTAACCAGAAACAGCTGTCTTGTTCCATGGGCCTCACTTGCCCATATAAAGCTAACCTCTTCCTCTTTGGTTTGAGGGAAAAACTGAGTGCAATCATGGACCTGGTACACAAACAAAACTAGGATTAAATATATATTTCAATACACATTTGGTGAATAATATTCTAAGAAAATTAACTGTAACCACCATTTTTTCCACCTTCCCCCACCCCAGTCTTTTTAATATAAAAAAAATCTGTATCTCAATAACCATTCCAGAGTTTTTTCATCTAAAACACTTTATGTCTAGAAAAATCAGTTGTACAACACATCAAAACATTTTTTCCTATGGAGCCTAGCTTTAAATGGAAATGAGAAAAAAAGGAGGGATAGACAAATGGGGGTAAAAATCGTTATCATGCATAGACTCGTGTTAAATGCATGACAAATTTAGAATCATGCATGTTTTTCTGCAAAATGCGTGTTTTATACAAAATCACTTGGAAATGCGGGACCATCCCGCACGATGCGAGACGGTTGGTAACTACAGTATGTACTATTATTCACTGTTTCTCAATTTCTCTGTATTTTCTCATATAAATTTTCAATTGAAAGCTACTGAAGGCAGCACTGATTGCTTGTGGAAGCTTGTGCATTCACAAAACTTACAACAGTTTAATCAGGAACATCTGTCTCTTATACACATCTAGATGTGTATAAGAGACAGGTATCAGAGTGACTGGAACTTTTGGAAAGGCTGATTCAAGTAAACAAGACAATGTCCTTAGTGCATATTGGCCTCTGGGTAATACCTGTCTCTTATACACATCTAGATGTGTATAAGAGACAGCAATAACCGTTCCAGAGTTTTTTCATCTAAAACACTTTATGTCTAGAAAAATCAGTTGTACAACACATCAAAACATTTTTTCCTATGGAGCCTAGCTTTAAATGGAAATGAGAAAAAAAGGAGGGATAGACAAATGGGTGTAAAAATCGACTCGTGCTAAATGCATGACAAATTTAGGATCATGCATGTGTTCCTGCAAAATGCGTGTTTTATACAAAATCACTTTGAAATGAGGGACCGTCCCGCACGATGCGAGAAAGTTGGTAACTATGTACTATTACTTACTATGTTTCTCAATTTCTCTGTATTTTCTCATACAAATTTTCAATTAAAAGCTATTTTTTTAAGATTTATGATTAAAAAAAATTCTTGGGATTATTATTTATTTATTGAATAGATTAAAACCCATGTTATTCAACATAAATAATTAAGAAGAGAAAGCACTTTCAAACTGCCTGATGAAGGCAGCACTGATTGCTTGTGGAAGCTTGTGCATTCACAAAACTTACAACAGATTAATCAGGAACAACATACTAGCATTGCATTATATTCATACATTTTAAGGCATTATTTATAAATTTATGGGGAAAAGTATATTTGATTAAAAGTAGTTTTTAATGAGAGCCTATAGTGATTAGTATTTTAAAGTGGCTTTGCTTACATTGATCCATATTTCTGAGTATTCTTCATACAAAACTTGAATAGGAAGCTTCTCACTGTCAACAACCACCTCATTTTCATGCACGGGTACAAAGCAGTGTACTGGTATTAGTACCAACATTGTTAACTGCTGGTTCCTACTAAGAAGCTGAGCCCATATGCTGTGAAAAAACATAAGTTAATTTTTAGCTCACACACAGTTGACAACAGAGGGCGCCACCTGGTGTTGTGACGACTCGACTGTTGTACTCTATTAGACTAGGATCTGGCTATTGTATGCATTTAATTTAGGAGGATAACTCAGCTGTTATAGGCTAATTTTGCCAAAAAATCTATATCAGGGAATAAAGCCAAAAACACTTTATTAAAAATAAATTATATTCATAGTTTTGCGGTACATAAGAGCAAAAATTTAATAGTGAAAAAAAATCATGTTTAGTTCAGTGCTTATATAAAAGCGGCACTTATTTCAGAGAGTTTTTACGCTAGTCCATTTACGCCAGTCCTCTGTGAATATGACCTCCTAAAATTTTACCTTTTTCCATCTGGAGTCCAGTTGAGTCGCACAATATATTCCATTGGAGGGAACAACTGACAGAGAGATTCAACAAGTTTAAATTCTTGAACATTGATTATCTAAAATGAAGAAGTCATGATATTATAAATAATAATAATAATAATAATAATAATGAAAATATAAGTACAGTCAAAGATATTATAACCAAGTATAGAATATGCACAATATACATATATACACACACATATAAATAGTATGTTATGAGGAAATTTATAATAATAATAATAATAATAATAATAATAATAATAATAATGAAAATTTAAATACAGTCAAAGATATTATAACCAAGTATAGTATATGCATAATATACATATATACACACATATAAATAGTATGTTATGAGGAAATTTATAATAATAATAATAATAATAATAATAATAATAATAATAATAATAATAATAATAATAATAATAATGAAAATTTAAGTACAGTCAAAGATATTATAACCAAGTGTAGTACTGTAAACATGACCATGACTCATAATACAGAAGCACCCGCAACAAAATAGAAAGTCAATCTATTGTATATCATTATCTTTGCGGCCCATGTTAAATTGCTGTAGGCCCTCTAAAAGAAATTTAGTAAATTCATAAAAAATCCTTATCTTTCAACTGTACTGCTTGTGTTCAAGGAGGTGTCATAGTATAATACCTCCATGGTATTGCAGATTCCAAGAAAAAAAAATAATCAAAGAATACATGCTACAGTATCTTAAGAAGATCTTTGGTAGTAAATAACAATCATGTGTTAAAAAAACAAAAAATCTTATGAAACTATACTTAATAAAATTATAGTTATCATAATGACAGTAATTAAACATACCGATCCATCAGCATTGACAGAAAATTCAACCATTTTCAAGATGACACTTGCATTTTTGGTTCCTATAGAAATGACAAAAGAAGTTTTAAAGCTGTTCAACCCTCTCGTATATACTGTATTTTTTCTTTATTTTACCAAGAGAGAGGAAGATGTACATTACAGTATTAGTGGATAGATGGAAAGATAGACCCTACTGGAGTCTTTGGACTTAGTGGTTAATCCCTGATGTAATTAACACCAAAAAATACTCTTCCTCCACCCACAAGCTCTCACTAATTTTACCTGCTCTGGGATATCTGTAATCGTCCACGCCACTATCGCCATATGTAGAAGAGACAATATGAAGAATTTCCACATCAGACTCATCCACTTCCTCATAGAGAATTCTGTATGTCTTCTTGTCTGGCTCTGTTGCGTCATAGATGTTAGGCTGCCACCAATAACCCGTGTAACGATCAAACTCTTCTTGAATTATGTATGAAGCAACAGCGGCACTTTTGGGATCATCAGATATTCTGTCAAGACCTGATTTGAAAAATGGTATGGAAACTTTTTCAAAAAAGTTATTAAAGTAATTGTAGTGCATATTGGCCTCTGGGTAATACTGTATTAAGTTGAACAGACAAGCTATAAAAAGCAAAATGATACCTAGGAAGACACAGCAGTTAAAAGAAATTATTATTAGCAATATCACTTACTATACAATAAATACATATATTGTGTTATGGACGTATCTCCATGTTTTCAATATCAAAGACCTATCACAAAATAATAATTATCTTTTTTTTAAACTTAAGAATTTTTTTTCTTTTATTTTTTCTATATTTTATTTTATTTCATTTTTTCCATTGACTTTTCTAGCCTTCTGATAGGGGTAAAAAACTTAACGGCTTGAAATTTGAAATAAATATTATTTTTCGCTATTAAGATTAATGTGATAGTCTCTTATTGCATCCCCTGCTGACAACCACACTGACTGTAGTTAAAATTTTAAATGGTCATTTTCCCTGAACACCATTTTCAATGCGGGTCAGAGCCTACACTAGTTGCGATAATAAACCCTGTAATCATTAAAATGCATAATATCTACCATAAATTGAAAACCGTTAATACTGAACCTTTATGTGTGAATGTCAGTCTTCTCTCATCTCCTGTAGCTACATTAGATACCCATAAATCATTGTTGCATACATAGGCTATCAGATCTGTATTTGTTGGACATAACTTTGGATCCATTCTGATACCTCCAACAGAACTGTGTACTTCTTTCGGGAAAATTGGTTGCAACTATGACAAAAAAAAAAGCCTATACACATAAAATTTGGTATTATATTAATAATTAGGAAATTAATTGTTATCTACATGATTCAAACCTAAAAACACCAATTGTTTGGTATATCAACTGTACTATGTGAGATTAAGTATTTCTGCTTAAATGTCATGTTTAATTTTTGAATATTACATCTTCATATTGTAATATGAATGAAAGTCCAAAAATTGAAAAGGCAATTTTATTCTACGTTTTGCTTTTATTTAGCATCATCAGGAATAATATATAAAGCAACAAATAAACAAACTACAGTAAAAGTTACCAGAAATCCTATTTAATATGCATTTATCAATGAGGCAAATGTCCCAGATCAGAGTAAAGTATAGGTATTACGATGAGAAAGCATACTGTGTATGAACAGTTCTGAGACAATCAGTAAACTGTAGATTAAGGCAAGTTATCAGTGTGAGAACCAGGAACAAAATAATAGTTTGTTTCTTTGTTGTTATGTATTACTACATCATAAACATTCATTCAAAAAAATTCCATAACAAATTACATATTACAAATTGTGTACATGGGCATCAAAAGAAGCGGTGGCTTGTCAGTTTGAATACCAAACATACAAAACTTACACACACAGAATACATGGAAACACAGAGTCAACATTTTAATTTTTAAATTTGGGATCGCCCACAATTGCCGGCACCTCCCAGATGACACTTAAATAAAAGTGAAACGTTGAATAAAATGGCTTTGTCAATTTTTGGAGTGACATTCATATTATCTGTACTTAAACTCAATGCATATCCTAATTGTTACATCTTCACATCTTCCTAAAAAAATGGACAATATTGTGGATTTATTTGGTCTTGTATTTCGAACCAAACCGTATCTTTTAGACAGGATGTGGTATTAAACTTTGAGAGCAGACTTTGTTTCTTTTATTCTTGCAAGCAATCCCAATTAAAAAATTTACATACCGAAAAACAGCTATCTGTACAATAAAACAAACTGCAACCAGCACTGAATAGAAATCGTCCAGACTCTACATCTATATCGTATGACGTGATGCCAAATCCCCCAAGTCGTTTCCGCTCCCTAAGAAGCTGCTCAATCTTCGAAAAACCTCCCTTTGACGTCATTCCTTGATACGACACAAGTAATGGCTGCCATTTGGTTAAATTCACGCAACCTAATGTATCCACATCGCCTGGAATGTCCACATACATGAGCGTGTTTTCCCTGCCCCCAAAAGGAACGCCAAGAAAATATAACCTCCTTCTTATACCATCCGCTGTTACCAATTTTTTGAAAACAAATTCTGTTGGTACTTTAAATACAAGGGAGCTCTGAACCCTTCTCGTCTCTTTGACAGCATTTCTTAAATCCTGCCACGTATGTGTTCTAGGCCTTAAGGTGTTAGAAGACAGAGAAGTACCTTCATGGGAGTCTATGAAAGTTGTTGGACCTGTTGCCATTGCACTGAGTACAATAAGATTTTAATATATTTCAACACCTGTAATGAAAACATAATCAATAATATTAATAATAATAGGTATTTTTTGTGTTTGTATATATTATTATCCAGGGAATTGATAAATAGCACCTATCTAGGTTATGAAGTGTTCTGTTATCCTTTGTCATTGGGCTCCCATGCCTATGTATTCCTGCCAAATTTGTGCATTTTAGTAGCAGGCAACCTTACCAGGTACCTATTTATACTCTTGAATGTTTGAGGAAAGAAGCAATGTGGATAAAGTGGCTGCAATGACAAAAGCGAAGGGAATGAACCCAACTGTTTGCATAGCACCAAACTTCTTCAACAAAAGCGCTTCTAATGTAGAACAAAATACACAAGAACTCACTATATTGTTATTTTTTCTCTTTTTTCCTGTACATGCCAGACAAATACAAACCAAAAAGTTTGAAAATTCATGTTATAATATAATATTCTTATTTCCTCAAAAACAGTACAGGAGGAGGGAGAAGCTAAGAAGGAACAAAGTTCCTAAACAATGTTTTGCAACCCCAAAACATCAAACATTAGGAAAAAAAAAAGGGGGGGGGGAAAAAAGAAGACAGAAGAAAGATCAGTCATCACAACAGCAAGGACACCCAGAAGAAACATAATAACATAGATATAAAGAGATCGTCTTTAAAATAAAATAATGGAACTTTGCATTACACTTTCTCTATTTACAGAAAATGATAGACAAGTTGTCAAATAATGACATGTTATATTGTTTTCATACAGTATGGTTTATTAATAAGCCTGCCGGCCTACATATTTACGATGGAAAAGAATTTAATAAAGTCCCTTCTTTAAATCTTTATGCTGTTCTACTTTAAAATATTTTGTCAATAAATGGGACTAAACGTCCAAAATTTGGTGCTAACCACACCAAGTGCATATTTATACCTTTAGCTAGAGAAGCATAAACTGCCTGCAGCCTAGTCTACGGCCTAGCCAAGCCTATCCCAACAACTCTTTGACAATTGTTGACGTTTTTTACAAACTCACATGTGTTTTTACGGAGCATGTGGATCCTAACCTTGATTTTTAACTTGTGAATGAAATAATAATTATGACAACTCCAAACAAAACATATATCAATTATTAAAATATGAGATTAAAATTACTCGCTAGGCCTAGCATGTCATCCATCATCACTTCGTGAACTGGTATTTCAAGGTTGGGCCGCAGTTAATTCTCTGATCTTGTTTTGACATCTCCGAAGCATGTGAAAGGTTATGTATTCCTAACATACACTATGGTGTGAAAAAAATCAGAAGGTAAGTGGCTAAGCAGTGCTTACTTTTATGCCTGCTAAAAACATGTAAAGGTTAGGTTTTTATTTAAATTTTTGAAATATTTGTTGTATATAGGCTTATCCATTAAATAATGTACATATTAATGCCAGATAATAGTGGGTTTATGGTTGTATGTACGATTGCAAGTGTTAAAAATGCACCCACACAACAACAGGATGCCATCATCACTCCTCTGCACAATCAAGTTCGACTCATGCCTGAGTGGAAGCCATGGCTCTGCTGAAAATGTTTAAATTGCAGCCCTAAGCTCACTTCTAATCCTATTATAAGATAGAACTATGTTGTTTTTTTTTTAGTTTATGATCCGTATAACAAGCTTGCTTGAATTGAGTTATGAGGCCAGCAAAAATTTCATTAAACCGACCGGTTAGACCTGGGCTTTTTTGTTCTGATTGAATTTCGTTTTTTTTTTTTTTTTTTTAATATATTATTTCATTTCATTCAGTAAAATGGAAGGAAGTGAAAGATTTAGTGGAGATACTGAAGAACCTTCGAATGAATATTTACCAAGAAATGAGGTTGTAATGGAGCGAAATGAAGAAGATTTAAATTCCTCTATTAAAACTACAAAGGAAAATACCATACAAAATACAGAGGAAAATACAAAAGAAATCACAGAGCAAAATGCAAAGGATAGTAATACAGAAGAAAATGAAACAGAAACATTACAGAAGATCTCTATCACTGGTACTAAATAGAGTTGAATTTTAAAAACAGGTCTCGCTCTAATTAAAAACTGTGGTCCCAAATTAACAAATTTCTTTTGTCTTTATTATTCTAATTAGAAACCAAACTGTGCTAAAGACTATAGAAAAGAAACCCCAGTCCCTAAAATAGTCCTAATTGGAGGGAGACATGTCTCAGTTTTTCCCAAAAGTATGTAAAAATTGTGCTTGAACACATACCACAGTCTGTAAATTAATTGAAATGTTTACTTGTAATAAATAATGATTTTAAAAAAAACCCAAAAAAGTATGTATATTGTAATTTTTATTTTAAAAATATTTTTTAAATATTGACATATTTTTTACATCTTGTTTTATAGATAATTTCTTAAAAGAGGAGGAGGATATTCTTAATATTGATGACCAAGTTATTGACAGTTTATCAGAAGGCTTACTTCATAAAATTCAACCAGAAATTGATTCTTTTAGCAACTCATTCCAAGAGTTAACGTAAGCTATTAAAAAAAAATTTTTTTTGATTGAATTTGATATACTGTATATATGCTTAACTTTTTAAATATTTTTTTATATTCCTATTTTATATGGAATGATACTGCACAATTAGTTGCATTAAAACTAGAGTATGCTCTAAAGATTATATAATTAAACTTTATTATTGTTAAGAAATGCTTTTCATTTCGTTTATTTTGTCATTAAATTCATACAAACAAGGGTATAGAAAGAAAATATGAACATTTAGTTCTTCATGCACTATTGAAAAATTAGTGCATATTGTAAAGGAGCAATTTGCATGAACGAAAGTGTAAATTGATTGAGTAATTAATTTTGGCTTTCAATCATACAGAAGAATAAATCATATTTTTATACAAATACCAGTACAATCATATTTTACTAAACAGCAATACTATGTTTATATCACACAGGAGAAATCAACGGGTGTTGATGGAGACAGTCCAACAAGAAAATGTTAAATTATTGGAAAATAGAGATATCAATGATTTGGCAGCCATGGTAAGTAACATTTTATCCAAATCTTAACTTATAACAGGCCTATTTTCTACTAATAGCCTACATTATACCAGGCCTAACTTCTACTAATAACCCACACTACCAGGCCTGACATCTACCATAGTAAGAAAAAGAGAGCGAGACAAAAGCCTTGTTACTGTAAAGCAGACATATTTCAAGAAAGACAGTTCTCATCGTCAGTGACAAACATTACTCATTAACAACATATTTATGAAAATTAAGTGTGGTTACTAAGCATATTCATGAACTAAGCATATTTGTTAAATACTGATATTCATATGGTAATAACTACATAGGGAGAGTAATATTAAAGGGAAACAATTGTTTATTTGAAGAAGGCTGTTCCCACAACAAATGAATTGCTTCTTTTATTTTCAACTGATGTGAATTATGAGCCCAGTGTAGTGAAGCAGTTCTCATTACAGAGTTGGTGACAGTGGTCTGTACTCTGCAAATGTTTAAAAACATGAGAGGCCCGTGTCCCGGGATAGATGCTCACATACTCTTGATAGGTGTCTGGTTGTTTTGCCAATATAAGCGGAATAACATCCTGCACGTGTAAATTTGTATACGACACGAGAACAGAGCATTTTGGGGATGGTCTTTCAAACTGAACATGTTCAAAACGATTTATAGGCCATTGCAATTTTAAATTTATGACAATATTGTTTCGACAGCTGTTGAATTTTACGGCACATTATTAGCCTGTTGTAAAAGAGACAATTAAAAATGATGTCCAAAGAGGGAGGGGGAAGGGGGAAGTGGGAGAGTGAGGGGAAGAGGGAGTGGGAGGTAAAGGCCGGGGTTTGGTCAAATAACGTTTAATACTGTAGCTTTGTCTATAATTCAGGGTAGAGATTTTTCTGCAGAATCATTACTACTAGGTCATAAATATCATTGTGACACCACAACTAAATATTATTAATCTTATAGGCTCTATCATTCAAAGTGCTGATCAGTCCAAACGTAGTCTATTTACTATTAATGATAACCCACCTCATACCAAGCCTGACTCATTTACAAAACTATTGAAACAGAATTATTTTTTTTAAAATAAAACAAAACATGAGGTGTTTTTGAATGTTATTTTTTAGGTAGCAGATGCCAAAGTGTATTATCAAAAACTTGTCAACATAAAGAAAGACATGTTGCAACTCCATGAAAAAACAACTAAAATCAAGGTACTGTACATTAAAAAATAAATATACTTTCCATAGATTTGAGGAATTTCTTAATGTAGTTGTTGCTATAAAGTACAAGTATCAGATTATTGTAATTTTTATTTATTAATTAAATTGTTATGCAATCTTAAAATCTGAAAGATTGTGTAACCATTAATTTTGTTATTGTATTAACTGTGTAATCTAAATTTACTGTTGTTTTTATAGTAGTTTTTAAAACTTAACATAATCATTTTTGAAATAAATACCATTATTATTATATTTAAACAATCTATTAATACTACAACTAATAATATTTGAACAGGAATTTATGAAACACCATTTATCTTGGGGTGCATTAAAGAATATGTAAAAGGAGGGAAATGTATAAATTAGCCAGAGAAAATAAAAAATGTGAAAGAATTAATAGTATTGTAACATAATATTGTCAATATGAATATCATATGCCACACAATTTACGTTTTTTTTGTTTGAATTTTTTTTTTTCAGAAAAGAGCATTAAAATTACAAGGGCAAAAAATGAAGCAAAATCTTTTAAAAGAACAGCAAAGAGATCATGAACTTGAGCAAGAGCGTAAACTAATCGCGCAGCCCGCTGCTCATAAATCTGACATCCTCTGATCAAGATGATTACAAATATATCAGGGGTAGAGCCAGTGGTAGGGGCAGGCATCAGGGAGAGAGGAAACTTCATTTGTCAAAGATCACAAAATCATAAATGAGTTTTCAATGATTTACAGATATTTTACTACAAAAAAAGAATCTTTCAGTTGCTGCCAGTACCTGTATATATGCATAGATTTCATACTGTATTTGCGGTAACAACTATTAAAAAAAAAAATATCAGAACAAAGGGAAGGAGACTAATTATACTAAGCAGTTAATAATTTTCCAAAAAGCTCATATAAAAATAGATGGCAGTTTGTATATCTTACACATGTTTTTCATGTCATTTTACATATTTTTTGATGTTGAAAAATAGACTGATTCATTTAACTCATAAAAATATTCTTTCACTTGCAATCATAAACCTTCATTATTTATATTGAATTGAAATAATGTAATTTTTTTTTCCTCATGACACTTTGGAATATTTTCTAAAATGCAGAAAAATGATACTACCTGTACTATGTAATATGCATTTTGTTTTTATACAGTATTGTTATTCTTGAATGTTATGAGAATAAAAATTACTATGTTTTAATATATTTTTGCTTTGTAAATTATGGCACTAGTCTAAAAGAAGTTATGAATTTAGTAATAAATATGTTTTAATATTATCAACACTTTGTGTTTGTAGGGTAAATTGCATCATTGATCACTGCTGTGTTACATGTGAGATTCAGTTTAATCAGGGTTATTAAAGAATCATAGATGTTTTTATTATGTCATTTGGTATATCCAAATTTAAGGGTGCAATACAGATAAAAAATATAACGTTAATTCAGAACGATATAAAAGCCATCTTTAATTATCCTACTTGTTTATTTAATTCAGTTTAAGTTCAATAGTCATTATATAATATGTCAGTAATTTGCTTATTAAAAGATGTCTATTTTAATAAAATTAATACAAATGGAAGAATTTTGTGAACAGTCTTATAAGGCCATATTATTTCTTTTTGTTAGCTAGTAAATTGTGTATCTTAAATAATCAGGGCGGATCCAGGACTTTTCGTTAGGGGGATGGCAGGCTACCAAAATTTATATCGCTTTTAATATCCAGTTATTTTCTGTTCCATGCTAATAAAACAAAGAAATAACCCTTAATTTAATTCAATTGAGACAATGTGTATGTGACAGATATAAAATCAGTAGAACTTTTGTTCTGATGGGTACAGCTGATTAGAAAACGGTATTGTGCATCTAGTTTTTAAATATTTTCTTAATTCAAAGTTATCATTAATACAAAGTAAATATAATAATAATAATGATAATAATAATAGCAATAACAATAATAGTAGTAGTAATAATAATAATAATAATAATAATAATAATAATAATAATACAGTATAATAATAATAATGATAATAATATAATAATTCGTAATATTAAATAATGTATTAGCCAATTTCCAGTAGGATATTTGGCACCAACTAAAGGAAGTTGGTAGTCAGACTTCCAATGTAAATTATAATGCATCGTACCAAAAATATAAACCATGAAATTGTTCCTATCTAAGCTTTGAAAATGATAACAAGAAATAAAAGCAATTTGAATTATGAAATTTACTGGTACTGCGCATTGCTCACATAGGTGTGCACGTGACTTGTGGAGCTGTTGACCCACGTTGTTTGACCTTATTCATGATCGACCTTACGTGTATGCGAAGAGTGAGCAACCCCTTGTTTGAGAATGGCTTCCACATTTCGCCGCATAGAAAATTGTACCAAGCGCATTTTGAACGTATCGAAGTGTGCAAATATTCAAAAAAATGTCATATCGACAAGATATATTTCAGGTAATCTTAGAAAATCTAAATACAATTAACAATTTACATCCTATCATTCAGACCGTTTGCTATTAGTACTACTGGGCTAGCGCTTCTGCTGGCTGCAGTAACACAGGCCTAGGCCTAGTAGCCGGTTCTAGGACGATGCGTCCCTGGATGTTGCAGGTCAGTCAAGGAAAAAGAGGGCTGGGCCTGGGTTAGCGCACCTCCTAGGCCTTAGCCGTAGTAGGCTAATGTTATGGTAATACTTGATTAATCTGGTGATAGCGACTCGTTGGTCCCATCATTGCTGTCCATGACTTTTGGTTGATTTCAGATGAACGAAAGTTACTCTCCAACTTTCCTGTCACCATTATTGTTGTTGGCATTATTTAGGCCCTAGGCTATAGGCTAGGCCTAGTTAGTAGTATAGGCCTTTTTCACGAATCGGTAGACATCATGAAGTGATGACAAACATTGCGAATCAGCGGTGCGTAACCAACAGAAATAAGATAAGCTTTTGGGCTGATTTTCTGACACCATGTTATTTAAAAAATCATAACTCCATAACGGAGCGGCGTATCCAAAAAAATTTTCCAGCAAAATGTTCTTAAAAGACTATTCTACACCACTATATGATTGAAAAAAAATTGAAAAATTTTTTTGACCTCATTTTGCTGGAAAATTTTTTTGGATACGACGCTCTTATTTCTGTTGGTTACGCACCACTGATTCGCAATGTTTGTCATCACTTCAATATGTCTACCGATTCGTGAAAAAGGCCTATTGTATTGATTGATGGTGCCTGGATCTGCTCGATGGAGTGGCTCTTACCCCAAGTAATGGGTTTGGGAGGGGGTGTTAGGTGAGTGAAATGTGAATTTTGGCTGGCATAAAAGGCCCAAAATTTGATTAACTTACTACAAATTTAATACAGTATTACACTGTCTGTTTGGTACTTGGTACTTGTCATTGCTGTTTTGGTCTGTTGCCGTTTTGGTACTTTTTTCATTGCCGTTTTGGTTCATTGCCGTTTTGGATATTGCCATTTTGGTCATTGCCGTTTTGGTTTATTGCCGTTTTGACCTGCTACTATCACACTGATTTGTTTTCTCTTTTTTTGTTACAGCTTCAGCTTTTAAAATGGTAAGTTATTATATCTTGTGTCTTGTATAGTTATTGTAATTTTATTTTGTTCTTTGGATTGGGTAAAACTTGGATATCTTATTGCTAAATCTAGACTGAGTAACGTTTCCACAACAATAAATCTATTTTTTTTTTTTTTGTAGGCCTCCAGAACACCGGTTGGTTTCATAGGACTTGGCAATATGGGAGGATTTATGGCAAAGAATCTTCTGAAGCATGGTTACCCATTAGTAGCCTTTGATGTCTACCCGGAGTCGCTGATTGAGATTCAGGAACTCGGAGCTTCAGTGGCTAACTCTCCTGCCGAGGTAGTAGAAAAGGTAGACAAGGTAGTGACCATGCTGCCGTCAAGTCCTAACGTATTGGAAGTTTATCTTGGAAATGCAGGTATACTTAAGTAAGTATGGGAGTTGCATTCTCAAAAATATCGTGTTTAGATTTACCCAATAGATAAACCCAATATTGGTTGAACCCCTATCTGTTAAAAATTATAAAAATACCTCTAATTTCTCTAATTATCAGCTCAGATTTTAGGCTATCTTTCTCATATTGCTTGTCAGGAGGATTTTATAGTCTGGTCATGCAGGTCTGAATAAATAATTAATTCTAATTGGTATAATAAGTGCATACAGTACATATTCTTAACCAAGTCATTTAAAATTCTTTTTCAAATGATTAATATTTTTATGTTGTTTATTGAAGGAATGTGAATCCTGGAACCTTATTGATAGATAGTAGCACAATTGATCCTGCTGTTTCTAAACAAGTAGCAGCGGCTGCGGAGAAACAGGGAGCCATGATGCTGGATGCACCTGTATCAGGAGGTAAGGTACAGATGAAATCACCTGGTGATCATGTACTGGTCCATCTTCATCCAAAGACCCCTTGTTGATATTTACTGACATTGGCATTAGTAATAATAATGACATAGCAGATATTTATACCAGGGAACAATGAAATTTGTGTAATTGACAGTGTAATTTCACTGTTCCCTGTTTATACAAGCAAATTCAAAAAATGATCAGAGGCACAAAGTGAACTATAAAATAGACTAAACGTTTTTTGTAAAACATACATTATAATTCTAGTATCTGCATATTTTCCACCACTATGTACTGTAGCTCAAACTATGCCTCCTAGCTACCTTGAGTGGATTCCCCATACTGTAGACTACATCATAAAGTCAGTCACAGGAGAGTAGCATTACCAAAACAGATGGCAGATTACCTAGTATGGTATACTGTACAGTGCAAGTTTAACTGAACATGAATGTATTAGAAATGAAAGAAATAAATAAAAAGAAGAAAAAAAAAAGAAGTTTATTACTGGACTAATTTATTCCATATGGGATACAGGCCATGACTTGAAAGGGTTAAAAAATATATAATATATATATATATATATA